AAGTTCCTCTTTGAAAGGAAAAGTTTACTTGTTTTTCCATACAAGCTGATGGCCTTTTGACCAAATCAGCCACCTTTATACATTAACAATAAACATGTAAGAAAAAGGTATTTGAGTACTAGTATATGGGTATCGCTTTTTGATTAGTTTACATATAATTTCAGAGCTAGAAGGAACTTCACCCAGTAATCTGTCCATAGTTTTAGTTTACTACAGTCTGAACCATAGATTCCTTTCTAGAGAAGACTTTCTAAAGACTAGATCTACAATTTAGACTTCACAACTTGGATTCTTGTGCATCTTCTAAATATGTGCATAAACTCTGTTCTAGATGTAGTCGAGATGAGACTTGTGAGGTGTATCCCTTATTTGGGCACTACGGAAGATTCCAGTTTAATGCCTTTAAATTCTTGCGAAGTCTGAGCTCCGTGTATCTGCAGTGTAAAGTTTTGATATGTGATAGCAATGACTCCCATTCTCGCTGCCACCAAGGCTGTGTCTCTAGAAAGAAACGAGACATTTCTTCATACAAATGGAAGACCGATTCCGTCATAGGACCCATCCGTGTGAAAAGGGATCGAAGTGGAAACTCAGGTAACACAAAAGCTATTTCATGATCTAAGAATACCTTGTGGTGTGAGAAATGCCACTCAAACTGAGTTCTTCTCTATGTAGAAGAACTCTAGAGAGTCATACCAGAAGTTCTAACAAATAAGTGAGGAATATTAACCACATAGGATAAATGCTTATTTCCATTGCCACACCTTGTGTAAGCATATGAGACACTGGTAATACCATCATTCCCATGGCTCTTGAATATAGGTCTATATCCTTCATTTCTACAAATTTCTTTTAGCTTCTTAACTCCTTATGATATACATGCCATAACTTAACCAAACCATCTGAAAGAAATAAAGTAAAAATTAAACATAAATATAAGCTAATTCAAATATTTGATAATCATTCCTCTTTGATGTATTGGAACTATGCATTTTGCATTAACTCAATAAAAGATTCATATGGTATAAAAAGATATTATAAATAATGCTAATATATGCAAAAATCTATATTCAATTGCAGGGCTTCTGCATCAAACCCATGCAGACATTCCACAGCAGCCTTTCAATGCTCTGCACCTGTTTTCATTCGTGGTCCTTGCTCTGAATGTTGTGATTGTGGCCACGATCACACTGAGGCATTTTGTGAATCAGCGCCAAGACTACAAATATGAGAAGCTGCAGCGCTACTAACAAATGGCTCCTTTCCTAAGATGGCACCTTTCTCCATGGCTACAGAGCTTATGAAGAAACTAGGAAGGATCTGAAACCGTAACACACAGACAAATAAGACTTTTAGCTCTCATCTTACAAACTAAAAGCATTGTATGAATCAAAAACTTGGTTTGTTTTTGGTTAAATACAACATTTGAAACAAATATTAAATGGAAAGAAAAAGGTTTTTCTTTTTTTTTTTTTAAGAAAAGTAGTCTTTATGTGGTGGGTACGTAGTATGTACCTATAATCTCATTGACTTGGGAGGTCAAGGCAGTAGAATTGAGGGTTCGAAGCCAATCCAGGCTAAAAAGCTAGCAAGACTATCTCCAAAACAAAATAAAAACAAAAAGGCTGAAGATGTAGCTTAAGTGGTAGAGTGCTTGCCCACCAAGTGCAAGACCCTAGGTTTAATCATTGTGACTTCCCCATTCTTCAAAGTTGTATGCTTTTATTATTTATATGCCAAATAAAGCATGCACATATAAAATGTAAACAGTGAATGGGCAATATGCCACCTTCTGAAACATCAGAGGCTGCCGCCTGATACTGACGTGCAGGAGAAAGCATCACGGTCTCCTCCATCTCGAGCCTCTCTGCTGACAAACATTCTCCTGCTCCACACCTGGGTCAGCTCAGAGAAGGGCTTTAGAGGAAACAACCTGACTGCCAGAGGCTGCAGGCAGTTTTTGGGTTCATGAGATAAAAATGTTTCTCTTCTCCTTTACATGAAGCAGAACAAAAACCATTAGACTCTAAGCTGATCTGAGTTTACACTGGACAAAAGACAGAAGCTAATTATGTTAGATGAATAATACAACTCTACCTCATCACCTAATATAAACTGAAGCAGGTAACCACTAGAATGCTCATAGATAGAAAGATCTATATCTATCTATATCTACATCTATATCTATAGATCTCTATATATTATCTTATATTTATATCTATATTTATAGCTATAGAGATCTATATATCTCTATATGTATATGGATTTTATATATAGGTATAGATTAGCAATAGATATATTTATATCTCTATATAGAGAGAGCTAGAGATAACTATAGATAGATATTAATACTCCCTATTCTCCTCCCTCTTTATGTCTCCTCTCTCTCTCTCTCTCTCTCTCTCTCTCTCTCTCTGTTCCTCCCCCAACCCCAGGTGAACTAGGAAGAGGCTGCAGTGAATGGGCCTGCACACGTAGACCATTGTCTGGAGAGTCCTAGGGCTGGGCTGGGTATTCAGAGATGCCCTGTTGAGGCATGATGCTCAGACCTTTATAAACCTCTGTGGCCCAGTCACTGGACAGAGGCTGCTGAAACTGTGGCCATGAACTCTGGCAAGAAAGCTGTCTTGGGCTGAGGGGGATTCCTAGGGAGCAGTGGCGCTGATAGCTACAGCCACCAACACTCCAGCAGCCAAGTGCAGCACTGACTCTACCCGAGGGGACCAGCAAGATTTTCAGAATACCTCACAAGGCAATCTACCTCTAGGCTACATTGAGACTTGTTTAGCAAAACTTTTCAAAAAGACTACACATGCTGTAGTCTTGTGATGGCTGTAATCACAACTACTTGGGAGGCTGAGATAAAGAGGATTGGAAGTTTGAGACCATTCTGGGCAAGAAGTTCACAAGCCTTCAGCTCAAATAGTAAAACGCTGGGCCGGTGGCACAGGGCTTCACCCCAGCTCTGTGGGAAGCGTAGCGAGGAGGACTGATGTTCAGGCATAAAGCATGAGCCTCATTCAAGAATAACCAGAGGTGAAGGGCTGAGGGCAGAGTGTGAGTGGTAGAGGCCTGCTAGCAAGCTTCAAGCCTAGAGATCAAACCCCAGTCCCGCCAAAAAGATAAAGGTGAGCCACAAAGGGATGAGAAATTGGAGTACCAGGAACATGCAAGCTATAGGGGAGGAACTGGAATCCGAGCTCCCGGCTGGCCTCCGCTGCTCTGAATGGGGCTTCCCCTCATCCCGCTAGGCAAGGACAAGGGTCTTTGGGTTTGCTCTAAACAGCTTGGGTGGACGTGTTGGTCCAGGCTCCCTGCCTGCTCTGTGCCAGGCTCAGGGAAGCAGGTGAGGTGATGCACATCCCAGTCTCCACGCTGCTTTCATCCTGGTGAGGCCAGGCAAGGGGGAAGGGGCGTGGAGAGAAGGAAGGAAATTAGCTTCCCTAGTCATTTCTTACTAGTCTGGGGTGAAAGCCAGGACTCCAGGGTTCCTGGTGTCTGGTTGGAAGAGAGCAGTTTTTGTCCTGTTAGATCACCCCTTTGCTGGGAAAGCGAGCAGGCTTTCCTTGGGACACCTTTGGTGTTCCCTGACTGACTCCCTGTTTTGATCCACAGAGCATGGGAGGCTCCCCAGTGACCATGGCTTTAAGTGTTCTTAAGAATTGCCTGGCTTGGGATGGGAAGGTGGATCAGTGGTAGAGTGCTTGCCTTGCATGCATGAGGCCCTGGGTTCGATTCCTCAGCACCACATAAGCAGAAAAGAGCTGGAAGTGGAGCTGGGGCTCAAGTGGTAGAATATTAGTCTTGAGCTGAAGAGCTGAGGGACGGCGCCCAGGCCCAGAGTTCAGGCCCCACGACCAACAAAATAAATAAAAGAATTGCATGGCATGCTTTCAGAGAGGGCTGTATCCTGGGCTCCACCCCTTGAGCCATGCCAGCAGGAACTGATCTGGAAGCTTTTTTTGATTCATTTATTATTTACGTGGTAGTGCTTCCATTACTAGCACGTTTACGCTTGGGATTTGTTAGAGGCACAACATGCTAGATTTTGGTCACTGTTTAGTTTCTAATTACTGGTCACCCTGTGGATATGCACAGTTAATAAAGTAGATGATCTTTGGAAAGCAGAAACTCCAGAAGTACACAATTACTTGGAAAAAAACTCCTTTAATCTGTATTTGCATGAAATAGATGTCCAATGCAAGCGTCATTGTTTCATGTGACTGAGGGTGAACCTACTGGGGGCCAAGTCATTACCATTGGTTTAAAGACATTCTGTTCACCAAACCAGCCACTCACATTTCACCAATTTCTAGGTATGTTTATACATAGAACTTCATACAAATAAATACTAACATCCTATTTTGTTCAACCAAAACAGTTCTTGAGGAAGTGTATGCTTGTAATGAAATGGAGATGATGTTCTTGGAAGAAGTACCCCCTTGGGATCATTTGTCAGATTTTCATCTCTTAAGACCTCAGGGTTAGCTCCCCGTTTCTGCCTTCCTCCTTCCCTCGCCACTTGGCAGTACTGTAGCCTCATCTGTTACATGCTGTTTATTGACAAAGACCACAACAACTTCTGGGAGATGGGGACACACTTTTGATATTGCTACTGGCTATGCCGACAAATGAAAATATCTGACTATGCTCAAGTCTGTTTCCTTAAAGACAACGTTGAGGCTAGGGAGTCTTCTTGTGGAGTTAATATGCTCCTTTTCCAGAAGGATGCTGTTATCCATACTGATCTGCCTATGCTTGCTTTTCTGATTTCTTGTGTACTTTTCAGGTTTCCTGGCAGCTTTGAGACCTGGACTTAGACAGAATTGAGTGAACATTTGGCTGCTCAGCAAGCGCCCTCAGTCTTACCTTGAGTTTCAGCTTCTCAATTGCAAGCTGAAACCCAAACTCCAAATTGTTAGGCCTTCTGAAACAACAATGAAAACTTATTTTGATGAATCGGTGGCTTATGTGACTCAACTGTCTTGTTCTTAAGAGTTTAAAGAAAAATGAGCAATGGCTTCCCAACAAACATTAAAGTTGTTTATTATTGTTATTATTATTACAGGACCCTTAGCAAGATCTCGAAATAAATTCTCACAACACCAGAGGGACAGAAAAGTATGCTTACTTATTAGCATCTGGATAATAAGATACAAACTTAAAAACAAGAATAATTAAATTGACTATGGATTAGAGGGAGACAATCCTGCTTTTTCTAACATTTACACATAGTAAGACAATGATCAAGTTCTTGAAGTGAGGAAGTAGAAAATCAACATTTTTAGCTACCAAGAGAGTAACCGCTTTAAAAGCTCAGTAATCAGAAAAGATTTAGTAACAAATCTCAGGAAAGAAAGCTACTATCTTTCTTTAGCCAGGCTCTCCATGAGTAACTTTTGATTCATTAGTATTTCCCTGAAAGAAATAGATTTGGGTTCCTAGTTTCTGGCAGATTCACATGACAGCTGGGAAGAAAAAATCACACGAGGGTCTTGCTGTAAGCAGAAGCTCTGGGGACCTCCAGTGGCCCCACCATTTGGAAATACTCAGTCTGTTCTTCCTTGGCCTCCACAGGGCCTGCACCTCTCCTCCTGCGCTCTGTACATCCTTGAGAACACCGAGAAGAGTAGTCTCCCTCTCTGCACACAGCAATCTTACACTGCAGATAGATCACTTCGTAGCTGTCGAGAATGCTGAAGGCATTGAACTTGAACTGGGCCACATTCTTCTTGACGGAGTGCAGGTTGGTGTAGGTATTGTCTTTGATGCACCTAATGGGGAGAAAATCCGCAAACAATTCAGTATGACATGGATTCACTGAAACCCAGGTAACCAGGCTTGGCCCAGATGTATAGATTTCAAATGGGACTCTTCCTACCACTCACTCTTTCTTCAATGAGGGAACTACTAGAACTATCATTTTAGTATGACTATGAATGGAAACCCCCTACTCCTGGCTGTAAGTAGAAGGGGACTGTAAAATAAACACAACAAAAACGAAAAGGTTTTAGCTAGACCTCTTGCCTTCAGAAGGCTGACACTCTTTTGTTCCAAAGGGAAGATTTTATGTAATGGTTCTCTTATTTCTTGGTAGACTTAGATTATTTAAAATATGTGTTGGTAAACCCCAAGGAAACTTCTGAAAAATCTGGGGGAAGATGTGTAAATGGGTCCCAGGGAGGAGACACAATGGAATCATGTGAGTGCTCAATTATAAACAAAGGCGGCAGCAATGGCATCTGTGGGGTTAAACGAAGCACACATGCAGTATGAGCAGATGGTGCGTGCTCATCAGCCTTGTGAGCAATCACTTTAAACAGGGATAGTCTAGATATACTATTTTAAAGACAAAAGACAAGCAGACTAAAAATGTCAAACTACATGTTGTCAGTACAACTTTCTTTTTAAATATACAAGCACAGAGAAAGCAAGGGAACAGGGAATGATGTGCCATGCTAAGACGAACTAGATGACAGCTGCAGGTAGCTGCATTAACTCACAACAAATCTCAGAGCCAAATAATTCTCAGGATCAAAGAGGGACATTGTATAATAATGGAGAGATGAAATCTTCCAAGAAAGACAATCCTTAACCAAAATAATCAAGGCACAAATGATCCTCCAATTTACTATGATAGTCCTGATGGTATACATACCTACAAACAGACCATCAAAATACTTGAGGCAAAAACTAATAGAACTGCGAAGAAATCGACAAACTGCCTATGCTCATGGAATTATTGTTAGTGTCCCTCCATCAGTAATTGATGGGTACAGCAGGAGGAAAGGCTGTAAGGATATAGGTGATGTGAAGAGCGCTACTAGATCCCTGGAACTAGCTGACATTCCACCCAACAACAGCAGCAGCATGCACCAATTCCTTCCGCTCACACAGGACTTCTTCAGAACTGACCATATTCTGTACCCTCAGAAACATCTGAACAAATGAAAAGAACTCTATTCACAAAAACACTCTCACATAACAATGAGATTAAACTAGGAACCAATGACAGAAATAGTTCCGAAAACTCCCCAAATGTTTGGAAAGCAGACACCGCACCTTTAAAGGAACTTGTGGATCAAAGGAGTCTCAAGGAAGGTTCTAAAATATTTTCTTTTTTGGGTCCAGTCGTGGGGCCTGAACTCTGGGCCTGGGCGCTGTCCCTCAGCTCTTCAGCTCAAGGCTAGCACTCTACCACTTGAGCCACAGCGCCACTTCTGGCTTTTTTTTCTTTTTGCTTATGTGGTGCTGAGGAATCGAACCCAGGCCTCATGCATGCAAGGCAAGCGCTCTACCACTGAGCCACCCTCCCAGCCCTCTAAAATGTTTTTGAACTAAGTGTAAATGAAGGTGAAATGAATCAAAATCTGTATGAGGCAATGAAGGGAAATTTGCAACCCTATCTGAATGTATTAGAGAAGAGAGGGCTAAAATAACCTAACCCTTAAAAATAGAGAAAGGAGAATAAGCCTAAAGCAAGCAGAAAAAATCGTGGGTTGTTAAATTTGGGCACTAACTCTAATTTCTTGCCTTAAGATGTTCAGAAAAGGGATTAAAAGGGAAGCACTTTTTCTCTGCTCTGGGACTCAGTGCAGTTTACTGCTGTGATGCACCTCTCATCCCATCAGTGACAGGTTCTGTCTGTCCCTCCCCTGGCCTCTGGACGTGGGTACTGCCAAACCTCTTAGGACCGTCAGTCTGCTAAGATCTCATTATGCTCTAGCTGCCATTAAGTGAGGGAGGTGTTTTGGTCTTTTATGAATTGGTTGACAGTTACCTATTCATAAGTGTTTGGCTCCTGAAAGGGGACAAAGGACCTATCAAGGCAAACGACTGGCCAAGGTTCTAACTTGGCAAATCATTGGATTAACTAAGGGAGCCAGAAGAAATCTGACTAGTATGACATCATCTACCTTGAGGGACTTCATCAGCTCACCAGGAAGGGCCAGATGCCCAGAAGGCTGCACCTTGAGTGCAAAATCTACTGGAGGTCTCAGATTGGAAAGGAAGGGAGGCTTGCATATGAGAGGGTGGAGTGGAGCAGAAGAGTCCAGGGCAGCTAGGACTCTGCCCAGGTATCTTTGGAGAATCTCCAACTGAGATCAGAGGGCCAATAAGGATCCCCACTTCATCTGCGGGGTATGACTAGAATTCTTTTTTTTGGGGGGGGGGGTCCGGTTGTGGGGCCTGAACTCTGGGCCTGGGCGCTGTCCCTCAGCTCTTCAGCTCAAGGATAGCGCTCTACCACTTGAGCCACAGCACCACTCCCGGCTTTTTTCTTATGTGGTGCTGAGGAATCGAACCCAGGGCCTCAGGCATGCAAGGCAAGCGCTCTACCACTGAGCCACCTTCCCAGCCCCTGACTAGAATTCTTGTACACAGCTCCAATTTAGGACTTTACATTTAGCAACTCCAAGTTTCCTAAGTCATTCCATGAAAATCTAACAGAAAATCCTGGCGCTGGCAGCTCATGCCTATAATCCTACCTAGTCAGGAGGCTGAGATCTCAGGATCACAATTTGAAGCCAACCCTGGGGCAGGAATGTCCTGTCTGTGAAACTTGTATCTCCAATGAACCCCCAGATAAAACCAGAAGTGGCGCTGTGGCTCAAAGTGGTAGAGCGCTAGCCTTGAACAAAAAGGGGCTCAGGGACAGCGCCCAGGCCTAGAGTTCAAGCCCTAAGACTGGGGTGGGGCGGGGTGACTGGGGGGGGGGGTGAAGAAGAAAGAAAGAAAGAAAAGAGGGCCTTCCATTTTCCTCACCCTTGCCGGATCAGATCGTATGTGTTGGTTGTGAAATCACTGGCATTGGGAGAAGCCACACACGTGTCCACGGAGAGCCTCAGGTTGGGATCTGTGCTCTGGAGCGTAGCCTCAAGGAACACCTCTTCCCCCTGGCCGGCATAATAAGGTGCCATGCCTTTCCCCCGCGGGGATGCGGGTGACTGGATGAATGAAATGGACACTTCATAGCCAGCATCCTCTGCCCGGGCGCCAGCTTCACCCGTGGATGGGCCATCCACTCTGCAGGTAAACTTCAGGTGGGGCACCTTGTGTCTCACGATGACGCGGCCAGGGTGATCCCGCCCTCGACCTCTGATGGAGTTGGAGTAGCTGAGCGAGCCACGGTGTTCCTGTGAGGATCAGAGGAAAGCTGGGGTGCCTGGGGCTCTTTCCCACCCCTGCTGAGCACTTGCTTGTTGGTGTGCTGGAGGCCTGAAATCCCTAGCCAGACTTTGGTAGTATTTAATGCCCCAAAGGAAGGAAAGTTCTAGACAAATGATGAGCTACTTTAGATCTCACCAGACTCAAACAAGCTCATGGCTTGTGTCCTTTCCCAGTTCCTACAAGGTGTTCAGCGGGTGGAGTTCCGTAAGCCCCTCCCTGCCCCATCTCCGCCTCCCTCCACAGGGCGGCTTCCTAGTCAGTTTCTGACCTGCTGGACAGTGCCGCAGCGGCCGTAGGGAATGTTAAAGATCAGGTAGCGTCCTGTGACATGGGGGCGACACGCGTTATCGTTTAAGTGAAGATCCCAGGAGGAGTAGCCCAGTCTTCGCAGATAGCCTCGATCCACGACAGCTTGGAAGCGGTGAGGTAGGCAGGAAAGCTGGGCTGCAGGACAGGGCGAGTGGGGGGAGCATTAGGAAGAGAAGCCAGGGTCCCAGAGCCAGGTCAGGGAATGGGCCTGTGTTCACCATCTAAATAAAAGCAGCGCTCTGGGCTGAGGCTGGCGCAGCCGTCTCTACTCTGCACCAAAGGCTTGACTCCAATGAACATCCTCCTCTGCCCAAAGCCTCTGAGGTCTCAGGCTAGCCCCAGCATACGCCCCGTGTGCTGCGAGGTAGAGCTTTGTCCAAGGAGTTCCAGGGCACTCCTGTCCCATGTTGGGAACACCCACGCCTAAACACACATCTATCCGGAGCTTTGGATGGAAGCTGGGAAAGGAAGGCATGAAGACAAAGGAGGAAAGAGCGCCTGGGACTCGCTTCTTCCCCAAGCCCCTGAAGCCCAGTATGTGGGGACACAGAGCTCCCAGCAGGCTCCCTTCTTTCTTCCCCATTTGTCTGCTTTTAGCCCCCCACTTTCTGTACGTTGTGTCCCAGGCAGGAAGATGACATTACCATTGTCCTTGGGTACAACAGAGTCCTCCGGACCTGCCGAAAAGATAAAAAACAATGTCAGTGGTGCGATGCCTCTGGAAGTGGATGATCTAGACGCAGGCAAGCTAGCCACGCTGGAGAACCGAGGCCTGAGAGCATCCCAGGGCATGCAAAGGCCCCAGGCCTCCTCTCAGAGCTGCAAGCCGGCCTGTGTGGAGTAGTGTGGAAAATATGGATGCTACCAACACCAGGATTGGTTGAAGCAAGAGAGCAATCAACTGGGGCTTCAGAGGCAGTAAATGCCATCAGATAGGGGAGATCCTGGCTGGTGTCCCTTTCCGTGCTCACGGCAGGCTTGGGACCTCAGGCTAGGATCCCAAGAGTCTGTAGCTATTAATAAGGGTTTCTCAGGCTCAAAATGAAGACAGGACTTCGGCCAGGAAGTGTGCTAGTCAGATTTCCCCAACTTCTTCAGATACCAGACCCCGATAACAGAGACCTCTTCGTGTGTACTCTTGGGCAATATTGTCTAAGAATAGAAAATGGAGTTTCACTGAAGGTGGGACCCTCCCAGGAATGGCAGACAGTGAAAGTGAAGGAGAGTGAGCTTACAGAAGTCAGACAGAAAGGTGGGAGTAACAAAATAACGCCCGGGAGAGGTAGAGGCCCCACCTTGCATGGGAAGGACTGGGGCATATTTGGAGGAGGGTAGGCCGTTCTGTTGCTTCCTGAGGGTTAGGTCAAGGTGAGGCAGGGGCCCTCTGGATGGGGACCTTGGTTCTTTCCTCTGAGATAGAAAAGGGAACTGACAAGTTGTAATGATGGAAAAGAAGCAGGTTCTTTGCCCCTAATCATCTCAAGACATTTCCATTTTCTTTGGCTTCATCATCCCTTGCCTACATTTCAGAGCAAATATTTCACTGAAATGGGATTAGATAAAACTGATGACTAAACTCTCACGGGGGGGGGGGGGGGGGGGGGGTCCGCATTTCTAGTTCTTCATAATAGAATAAGGAATAAGCTACCAAAAATTGAGCCCGTAGTAAAGACTGAAACAGTAATTACCAGACACTCAGGAGGGTGAGAGAGGGGAAGATGGGGGGTGGGGGGATTGCTTAGCAGCTACAAATAGGAGGAATACATTTCAGTGTTCTATTATTACATAAAAAGTGGTTATACATTATATAATTCCAGAGAGCTAGAAGAGAGATTTTGAACGTTCTCCCCATTAAGAAATGGTAAATGCTCAAATGATGGGTGGCTTAAGTATCCTGATCAAAGCACGATATATAAGTGGATCAAAACATTACATTGGCAGGCGCCAGTGGCTCACGCCTGTAATCCTAGCTACTCAGGAGGCTGAGATCTTAGGATCACGGTTCAAAGCCAGCCTGGGCAAGAAAGTCTGGGACTCTTATCTCCAGTTAGCCACCTAAAAACCAGAAGTAGATCTGTAGCTCAAAAAGCTCAGTGACAGGCTGGGAAGTTGGCTCAGTGGTAGAGTGCTTGCCTTACATGCCTGAGGCCCTGGGTTCCATTCCTCAGCACCATATGAGAAAAAAGCCGGAAGTGGCGCTGTGGCTCAAGTGGAAGAGCGCTAGCCTTGAGCTGAAGAGCTGAGGGACAGCGCCCAGGCCCAGAGTTCAGGCCCCATGACCGGACCCCCCCCCAAAAAAAGCTCAGTGACAGCGCCCAGACCCCGAGTTCAAACCCCATGACCGACAAAAGCCCCACGTCACATCATTCTTCATAAAGATGTACAAATATTATCTGTCCAGAAAGGCACACAACGACTACGACCTGTCAAAAGCGTACACCATCTGTCAGTTACCATCTGTACAAATTGTTACCCTACGACTACGATCTGCCGACTATATCGGTCAAGAAAGCACAAGGAAAGGCCCGCTCTTCTCCGGTGGAGGCCTGGCCCATCCATTGGAAACTGAGGCCCTCCGCTGAGCGTGGGGTCTTGGCCGGAGCACGTACGGATTTATCTATAGGGGTGCGTGGAGGTTTCCTCGTGGCAGTGCCTGGGTGGAGACCCACACGCGGCTCCCAGGCCGCGGGAGGGGGAAGAGGCGTGGCGACTCGGGGTGTGGGCGGGGCGTGGGCGGGGCGAGTCGGGGCGTGGGCGGGGTGTGGGCGGGGCGAGTCGGGGCGTGGGCGGGGCGTGGGCGGGGCGAGTCGGGGCGTGGGCGGGGTGTGGGCGGGGCGAGTCGGGGCGTGGGCGGGGCGTGGGGCGGGGAGGGGCTGGGGAGGGGCGGGGCGACTTGGGAAGGGGGCGGGGCGGGGCGCGGAGGGGCGGGGCGGTACCTGCGCAGATCACGCTGGCGTCCTCCTGGTGCCCACAGTTGTGCCGCCCCCAGCCCGGGTGGGCACAGCGGTCCAGCGCAGCCTCGGAGCCGGAGCAGCGCACGTCGTCCAGCAGGATGAGCCCCGTGCCCGGGCCGAAGTGGGCGCGGCCCGGGGCGCGCAGGGCACGGCCGCAGCCCAGGAGGCGGCACACCACAAAGGCGTTCTTGATGCCCCAGTGGTCGTCGCACACGGTGCCCCACTGGCCCCGGTAGCGCACCTCCAGCCGGCCCTCGCAGCGACTGCGGCCGCCCACCAGGCGCAGCGGCCGGCCTGCGGGCAGAGGGGCGGTCAGAAGGCCGCCGCGGCCGCGTGCAGCCCTGGATCGGCCCGTTTCCGAGGCCCCCCTCCGTCTTCCGCTTCACTCGGAGCCGCGCACCGACTACGGTGACATCCCTTTTACGCTCCGTGAGTAGAATGACCCAGTTTAACCGTCAAAAGGCTGTCACAGCCCGGCGCCGCGGGCGCACGCCCGTCATCCCAGCTACTCAGGAGGCTGCGATCTGAGGATCGCGGTTCAAAGCCAGCCCCGGAAAGGAAAGTCCTTGATATGCTTATCTTCAATTAATCACGGAAAAAGCCGGAAGTGGTGCTTGGCTCAAGTGGTAGAGCGCTTGCCTTGAGCAAAAGGAGCTCAGGGACAGCGCCCAGGCCCTGAGTTCAAACCCCGGGACCAACAAAAAAGGCAAAGCAAAACAAAACAAAGTAAGAAAACGGTATTACATAACCTATCTATTCCACTTCTACACAATACGTGAAAACATTCGTCCACAGAAAGATTTACACGCGGCACCATTCTCCATACTAGCCCCAAACTGGAAACAACATACCAGGATGCACAGACTATAGTATATGAACACAATGGAATATTACTAAGCAAAGAAAAGGAATGTATTACCAACTCATGGAACCACATGTCTGCACTTCAAAGAGAACTGTAAATTTAATTTTACTTAGGTAAAAAAAAATCAGATACAAAAGCTCATGTTTTATCTGATTCTATTTCTATGACATTCTAGCAAGAGCGCATCTAAACTCAACAGACAGCAGATGCCTGGAGAAGGTAGGAGAAATAACGAGAAAGAGGCAAGAGGGAATTTCTCGGGTGTGGGAAATTTCCTGGGTGATGGATATGTGGTGTATTTTAATTGTGCTGGTTATATAACGGCATGCATTAGACAGAATTCATACATGTGTGTCATATATATATGATACTTCAAAAATTGATTTTAAAAGACAACAAAAAGACCTCTACATTCATGTATCATGCAATGCTGAGGACCTATTCTGAGAAATGCATTGTTCGTTGTACAACACTGTAGAGTGGACTTATGGAATGGAAAACTATTTCAGTGTCACTTGGCAACATGATTTTATGGGGTGCCTGACTGATTATGTTGGCAGTACCTCATACATAAGTGTGTAAAATGAGTTCTCTTCATATTAATTGCTTAATAGTGTCTGCCTTGAAATTTTCTGTACTTTTAGGCATATGAAGAGGCTCACTGAATGTGGACTCACTGGTGTTAGATTCTCTGACTACAATCAGAGAATTGGCCTAATTGAAGCTACAATATTGGAAGCAAGATAATCATATTTGTGTGAACTATGAACACAAGAGCTGAGGGTGTATCTCTTGAGTGGTAGCACATTTGCTAATATATATGAGGCCCTGGGTTTGATGATGGAGCACCATCAGAAGAAGAAAAAGGAAAAATAAGAAGAAAAAGGAGAAATAAGGTGAAGAAGAGAATGAAAAGAAGGAAGAGGAGGAGGAGAAAGAGACAGAGAAGAAAAAAGGGGAAGGATGAGGAGAAAGAGAAGGAGGAGGGGAAGTAAGAGAAGAATAAAGATGAACTTCGAACACAGTTAAATATCTTCTGTGTGAGGTCTTGGAGGATAAACTTTGGGTGGATTTCTGTCCCACAATGTGTGTGTGTGTGTGGGGGGGGGTGGTATCTGTGTGTGTTTGCATATATACATCTACAAGCTCATAAAATTTTTTGGTAAGGAGGATGGAATTTAAATGAAAAAGAAATCTTATTCTAACAGTAATACCAAACTAGATATAAATAATATAGGTATATTATCATTTTAGAGATTAGAAATAAATGAAAATATTTACCAGGTAATGGGGCCATTTCTTTATCAACTGAAATTGTAACTGTAAAAGAAATAATAAAAGGTTTAAAATGTAGTCCCACAAAATCACATATTTCTATTTAAAACAGAAGAATAAAAGTATATTCAGACATGAATACTTTTTAAGTTGTTACTTTGGTTTGAGTATAGAAATAGTGGCCATTTAATTTCATTTTCTTGGTATCAAATGTAAAAGTGATGTTATATCCTGTTAATCCTTTAGAATTAACTTAAAATAACATATGAAACAATCACAAAGGAACCTATGCAAATATACTGATTTTGGGGGGAGGAAGATAAAAATATTAGATTTTCCTACAAGGGTGGAAAATGAAATGAGAAGAGTCATAGTCAGACAGGAAGCTCATAGCTGAGAGGTGCAGTTCAGCCTCTCAGCAGGTAAAGAAATGGAGCTAGGAAAACTAATGAACTTTATGATAAAAATATAGTTATTGTAAACTACAAAACTATTTTAATTGAGGAACAGGTATATGATCATTACCAGGCAATGGAGTCATTGTTGTCCAAGTTAGATCTGGGGCTGCCAGAAAAATAAGTAAAAAAAAAAAAAGATTACAATTTGGCTCCATTCGCAAGTCAGTTTCCTCAGAGCTCTGCATTTATTTTGTGGATGTGCAGATGTAGGTGTGAAATTGTGCCTGAGAAGATGATGTGAAGCGTGCTTCTCCTCTGAAAAAGATCATTGTAATATGACAGCAAAACTTACATCCCTGAGCCAGGTCAGGATTAGCACTATTTTAGTGATGGGGAAATGGAGACTCAGGATTGGATAGCGTGACCAGATCTCCTGCAACTGAAACCTGTAAGCCTGTAAGGCCCCAAATCGCATAATCGTTCTACCTACTCTGTTTTCAGGGGCATAGGAGGTGGGGGTTGCTTTGGTCCTGGAATCAGAGTGGTAAAGAACAGAAATGAGGAGAAAGGAGAGGCTTCTGAAAGAAGCCTATGTCTACACCTATACCTACGTCTATGCTGACATCTATGTCTATGCCTATGTTTATGTCTATGCCTATGCCTATGTCTATGGTTGAGTTCCATCCCTGTGAAAGGATGCTGGACTTTCTTAGTACTTGGGATTTGTATCATAGGCAAGGTATTCTGAGTCCAGGTTATTTGCCAAATAGAAAGATGAAACGTTGTGTTTCACTTAAGAAATATGTCAGCAGAAAACATTACCAGGCGGACTGCCCTCTTCTGCTGAGGTATTGTCCTCTTCTGCTGAGGTATTGTTCTCATCCTCTTTTGTTGAAGTATTTTTCCTTCCTGCTGAAGTATTTTCCTTGTCTGCTGAAGTATTTTCCTTGTCTGCTGAAGTATTTTTCTCTTCTGTTGAGGTATTTTCCTCTTCTGCTGAATTATTTTCCTCTTCAGCTGAGGTATTGTCCTCATCCTCTTCTGCTGAGGTATTTTCCTCTTCTGCTGAGGTATTGTCCTCTTCGGATGAAGTATTTTCCTCTTCTGCTGAAGTATCTTTCTTTCCTGATGAGGTATTTTCCTCTTTGGCTGAGGTATTATCTTTGTCCTCTTCTGTGGAAGTATTTTCCTCTTCTGTGGAAGTATTTTCCTCTTCTGTGGAAGTATTTTCCTTTTCTGCTGAAGTATTTTTCTTTCCTGCTGAGGTATTTCCCTCTTCTGCTGAGGTATTGTCCTTGTCCTCTTCTGTGGAAGTATTTTCCTCTTCTGCTGAGGTATTATCCTTATCCTCTTCTACTGAAGTACTTTCTTCATCTGCTGAAGTATTTTCTTCTTCTGTGGAAGTATTTTCCTCTTCTGCAGAAGTACCTTTCTCTCCTGCCGAGATATTTCCCTCTTCTGTGGAAGTATTTTCCTCCACTGCTGAAGTATTTTCTTCTTCTGTGGAAGTATTTTCCTCCACTGCTGAAGTATTTTCTTCTTCTGTGGAAGTATTTTCCTCCTCTGCTGAAGTATTTTCTTCTTCTGTGGAAGTATTTTCCTCTTCTGCAGAAGTACCTTTCTCTCCTGCTGAGATATTTCCCTCTTCTGTGGAAGTATTTTCCTCTTCTGCTGAGGTATTTTCTTCTTCTGTGGAAGTATTTTCCTCTTCTGCGGAGGTATTGTCCTTATCCTCTTCTACTGAAGTACTTTCTTCATCTGCTGAAGTATTTTTCTCTCCCACTGAGGTATTTTCCTCTTTTGCGGAAGTATTTTCCTCTTCTGCTGAAGTATTTTTCTTTCCTGCTGAGGTATTTTCCTCTTCTGCTGAGGTATTGTCCTCTTCCTCTTCTGCTGAAGTATTTTCTTCTTCTGGGGAAGTATTTTCCTCTTCTCCTGAAGTGTTTCCTTTTCCTGCTGAGGTATTTTCCTCTTCTACTGAGGTAATGTTCTTGACCTCTTCTGCTGAAGTATTTCCTTCTGCTGCTGAAGTATTATCCTTTTCTGCTGATGTATTTTGCTTTCCTGCTGAGGTATTTTTCTCTTTTGCTGAAGTATTTTCCTCTTCTGCTGAAGTATTTTCCCTTTCTGCTGAGCTGTTTTTCTCTTCTGCTGAGGTATTGTCCTCATCCTCTTCTGAGGAAGTATTTTTCTCTCTTGCTGAGGTATTTCCTTCTTCTGTTAAGGATGAAGGTTCATCTAGGTATAAATCAAGAGACTGAGGATACTTTAAATAGCAGGGTTAGCAGTGTAGCTTAGAGATAGATTTCTTGGTCAGTGTGTGTGAGGCTCTGGGTCCAATGCCCAGCACCATGAAAAGACATAAGCTGAGTGGCACCGGTCATGTCTTTTCATTGGTTTCTACTTTATGGTCCACATGATTATTAATAAGGTTTATTTTCTAAAGAAAATATGACAAAGAGATCATCTCATTGAACAGTACAACGAGAGACTTTACCTGTTGGAGAGGTTGCCTCTGCTGATGTTGATCTATGATGTTGATCTATGCACAAAGAGAAAAAGTGACTTAAATACCAGGAGGGACTCCAAGGTCTCTATTTTTTTTACCAAGACTTTTGGGGGCAAAGTTTATGCAACAGCCTAGCTTTATAAATGATACCCCAGGAAGAGATATGTAAGGGGATGGCAGACAGAGCTCTACCTGATGTGGAGGTCACAGCGGTTGAGACTGAAGCTGTGGATGGACAGAAATGACAAGGCAGCAGTTAGTCGTGTCAGGCTCACATCCCTCTACACATACAAGGGGTTTTAGGGTGCGGCATAGATCAGTCAGCATGCCTTCTTGCTCTCCAGACACGTGTGTGTCAGGCCACGTTCAGATCCTCTACGGCTCCGGGACATGCTCCTACTTCTTGAATCTCCCTTTGTGTCCTCACCCTTTCCTTCTTCACGTAGAGATGGAGATGACTTGTCTGGAGGGCAGTAGCCATTGGCTGAGTTTCTGAATCATACAGGGCTGGTCTACCAATGATTCTGAATGGAGACTGGCTTTCCCAGCCTTCCTCCTCTTTTCAGATGGGTGGGACCCAGTGAGTTGGAGAAGTGTCATCTCTAAGCTGGGAACTTTCTCTGGACAGCTTGAGACTAGGAGGGATGGCTCTGAATTAAGTATAGCCGTCTGAACCAGCTTTACTGGCAATAGTGGCCATATTTTTGTGCTTACAGTGATGATTTATTTCCTAATTGCTTTAGCACCAGACTGAGGAAACACAACCTTTTTATTGCTCCCCCATACAAGCCCTCTTCACATTTCTTGTTTTTTTATTTTGAAGTAGTTTATAGATGAAGCATAAAATATTGTTGCTTGTTTAATGTGCTCAGTATATCTTTACTGAAAGTACGCCTTTTTGGGGAACTATAATAAGCTCATTACAAAAAGATAACATAAAATTTCAGTAAAAGTCAAGAATCAAAATTTTGACAGTTTTCACTTTACAATCTAAACGAGATGACAATTATGCAACAAAATTATTTAATAGCCAAAACATAAACTTAAATACTTTTCAGATGGAAAATTTAAAAAATTATATGAATACAGAAATATATTCATATTTCAAAATACTGAGAAATATTTCCATAATCTAATAATATTTCTGTAGATATTCTTGCGTATAAAATTGAACGAGGTTAGTGAAAAAAAAACAATTTGTACTATTTCTTGTTTCACCTAATTAATTTTGCCTTGATTTTACCAATAGAGAAGAGATTTGGAAAAATGCCTTCCCTTGTGCTTTTTGAGAAGCATGCCCTTTGACACTTTTGTTTCCGATCTCCAGCTTTTACATTATGATGTACCAAACTTCTATTCTCTAAGACATTGAGTTTGAATGACCTTCTTATATGAGCTCTAGCAAACTAATCCACGCATTCTATATGTCCTGATAACATTGGTAAAAATTAAGGTAAAGCTAACTTGACAAAACTCTTCATACTCTCATTTATAAAGTTGTTTATTGTAATGGCACACTAGGAACCCCTTGCATAATTTCAAATGGTATTACTCAAAATCTATCACACAAGAATGGCTTGTGGTCTAGGTAGCTCTGCTGTGTGGCTGTCTTGGCATAGATCTAGCAGATGGCTGAATGGTAGGTGAAGGTTAGAGGATCACTGAAAGCTGTGGTCTTGATGTTTCCCTATGCTGGCAATACTACTTGGTGGCTAGCCTCTATAAGAAATGGAGAGTGAATAGGAAATTGTACTTGGCCACAGGTTGGTTTTGTGTATGTTTTAATCGACTTGGCTTAATATGTTTTTACTCTGGCGCATGCATTTGGCTGGGTCACCCAGAACTCAGGGGATCCAGAGATGGATCTCATGAGTCAGGCCAACATAAACACATTAAAACAAAATGAAAAAATACTAAAGAACCAAAGATTTAACCAATACATAAATTATTTGATAGATTCACTGGTGATTAGAATAATCTGTAGCGAGTAAATTAAATTTAAATTACCTGTTGAAGTTGTTTTAATAACATTCAAAGTTTCTAGAAAAAAGAAAAAAAATTTGGTCAAACCTTACCAAATGGTAAGCAAACACTGCTTTACAATGAACTTTTTCTTGTTGTTTCATGGCTGACTTCCTTCCTTCCCTCCTTCCTTCCTTCCTTCCTTCCTTCCTTCCTTCCTTCCTTCCTTCCTTCCTTCCTTCCTTCCTTCCTTCCTTCCTTCCTTCCTTCCCTTTTAATTAACACATCTGATCACCCATTCCTGGGTTCCAGGCACTGAGCAGATGCTGAGGTAAAAGGTCAATAAAACCACGTAAGGTTGCTGTCCTCACAAAGAGAATCCATCACAGGCAAGAAGGAGTAACCATACACATAAATATGAGCTTGCAGTGGTGAAAGCAAGGTCTGGAGCCTTTGACAGGGGGTCTGTCTTGGCTAGGGGGCTTCCAGTCTACATCTGCTCCTCCCACCCCCTTGTGTCTGGCACAGGGTCTGGATTTGGTGCTGAGTTCAAAGATAATGACCACCTGATACTCCACCCTCCCCCTCAAGCCTGCCTCACCTCAGCCCCAGTGGCATGAAGACCACTTTGCTGTTAAATACACACAGTGCCATGGGCAGAGCCCATGACCAGGTGAAGGTGTGATTTCTTCTGAAGTGGAAGTCATGTCTGAATGTTAAACACCAGGTAGGAACGTTAGTCCACCGGTCAGAAAGTTTTCATCCATTTTCTAGTTGCACTCAATTATGCTTTTGTTATGGTCTCATATACTAGTATTTCTTTTGGGAAAATACGAATATACTAGTCTCACCATTCTCATTTTAGCATTATGCTGTAATTAACAGAATGAGAATATATATCTATTTTGGAGCCAGGCCATCAAACTCACAGGAAATAGCCTCTACATGTGCAAACTCAAGTTTCATTATTTCCTTTAAGCCAAGCATTGTCCAAGGTTCAAAGTGAAAAAAACAAAGTACAACAAAACAACCACAAGAACCAGGGAGTGGTCAAGCAGTCAGAAGTTCCCGTGTGTTTTCCCAGTCCTGGGGGAGACACGGGTCTATATGGGTACAGACATCACTGTAACCTCACAGAGTCCCCGAGACACAGCCAATAACCAGAAAGCATCAAGAGAAACTTTGGGAGGATTACCAGCGGTGGGAGTAGTTTCTGCCAGGGCTGGAGCAACTGTGAGAGCTGAAAGAGAAAACAGGTGATGTTCACCCGAGTGGAGGTGAACTTTGCTAAGACCTCACAAGCTGAGCTGGAAGTGAGCTTTCCCTGGTCCAGGATGGTGGGTGACCCCAGGCAGTGCCAGCACGGGCAGGCCGGCATGCTCAGGGGGCCAGGCCAGCTGGACAGCAACTCTGAGCCACCTTCCCTGTCTAGCAAGATACTCATTAACGCATCTCTCTGAATTGTACAAGAAAGATCGGATTTAGCCAATCAGCAATTAGGACAGCATTTATGTAGCATAATTCTCTTTGGAAATATATTAATGAGAAAATCATGAGTTTGACATACTTAGGAAAACCATTCTGGAAATTTAAATCTGACCCGGGAATCTGGTTCGGGTATATTTATGGTCACAGATCTCTTCTCTTCTGTTCGCCAGGGAAAACAGGCTGTGATGATGGGCAGAGGGACCTCCTTTATTGTCACTAGAGCGCCAACATCCTGTGTTGTCAGGGTCTTGTGGGGCTTCTGGGTGTGTGTGGGCTTTCAGGGCTACAGCCATGACAGTTCTGGGAGAAGTTGTTCCTCCCTCCTGGGATCCCTTGCTGTTTAGGGTTGGCCTTCCTGGCGGGTAAGGTGTGCTGTTTGCAAGGGAAACAAGTTACTTGGATGGAACCCTGGGGTTGTGGACATGTCTGTGAGCGTCCTCGTGGGCCTGGCCCACAGTTGTGCACAGACAGGCCATGGTGGTGACCCTGCCCAGGTTGGTTCTCTCTCTGTATACATAACATTGTTTAAAAAGATGGGGCTGGAACCATTGTTAAACGGAGTGCGCCAGGGGGCACCAGGGCTGAACCATCTGCTGGCACACCACCTGGGCAGCACCAGGCCCATGAACCTTCCAGGTACTTCTGTGATGGCCCTCCACCTGACTTTCACACCAGCTCTTCCCATAGGCCAGCCTCACCACCGGCAGATCTGCAGGGGCCAAAGACTACATCAGCTTGTGAAGGCTCCTTCAGGACTCGAGGGAGATAGCACCGCTAGCTGTGAACTTCCACCACTGTGGGGGTAGCAACACCTGATCAGGTGGGAGTGTGCTAACATGGGAGCCTTCTGTAGGCAGCATATGCACACGACTGCTTTTTGTACCTGGAAGTTAGTGAGATGCTGTGTTGGTCTCTGTACTGGGCAGATCCATCAGGGAATTAAGGACACTGTCATCTTTGTGGGAGATACTTAAAAAATAACATCCTGCGTTTACCATGCTTGGGATGTCACTTTTCATGCCTTATTTTTCCCTCCTAAAAAATCCAACACAGTGAAGCTGAATGCTTGGAGTTCAGGCTTTGCCTTCCGAATCCAGGCCTATCAGAGAACATGTTGAGTTTTTCAGAATGCAATTAATTTTGGTTTACTCAAATTTAGGAAGCTGTAAAACATTGATTTGGGAATGATGGTGGGCAGGGGAGAGGTTGAAAGAAATCAAACCGAGGAAGTATTGCTTGAAGCCTGCTGCAAGGAAGCGATGGGGCACAGGGAAAGTGCATCCTCTGAACCCAGAGGAGAGGAAGTTCCTCAGGGGCTCAGCCCTCAAGATTGGAGCTGCCTTGTGGGGTCCCTTACAAGAACATGTGGGTACACAGCGGGGCCCTGCAGGGATGGGAAACAGCCTGGCCTTTTACCTTCTGTAAGAATCTGCTTCAGGGCATTGTCACGGAGGGTTAAAACTTGCAAGAGAGACCCAGCGTGGGACCCCTGCCCTAGACAGTCACCAGCAACAAATGCGGTGGATCTGAACTCAAACTTACGTGGAGGTTCAACAGCCTCAGAACCTGTGGGGAGAAACAGACAGGAGGATGTGGGCATCAGAGGCTGCGATGGTGTCATGACTGAAAGGGCATTTTGTTAAATAGCACTCAGCAAGGTGGGTGGAAAGAAAGTTGTTCTTCAGCATTGAGGGTTGACATTTCCAGTGTGGGTTGTTCTCTCTGCTTAAGAACTCTGACAGAATTTGGCTTAGCAACTAGAACAATGTCAACAACAGAATGGCAATAGCTATGTGTGTTTTGTGTTGGATGGACACTTGCCCAAATGTCCAATATGGGTTGTCTGGTTTATTCCTTCCAGCAACTCTAGGAGGGAAGGACGGGCATTTTCTTTATTTTTACAAGTGATTGGCCTCTGTAGACTCTACCATTGAATAGGACCACCCCTAATACTACAAAATGGGAACACACACACACACACATTTCCTTTTCAGACTTGGAATAGAAATCTGCTACCCTGGCCACAGCGAAAGGCTCCAAGTAGAGAGCTCTTTCCAGACTCTTCCGATGACTTCGGGGCCCCCTGACCGGTCCTGGATGGACATTCACTCACCTGCGCAGATGACACCGGCGTCTTCCTGGTGCCCGCAGTTGTGGGTGAGCCAGCCGCTGTGAGGACACAGAGCCAGGGAAGGCTCGCTGCCCGTGCAGTTGACGTCATCGAGGAGGATTCTTCCTGACCCCGGGCGGAAGCTGGCCCCCGGGAGGGCAGACAAGGCTGGCCCACAGCCCAGCTGTCTGCAGACCACGTGAGCATCCTCTATGGACCAGCTGTCATCGCACACGGTGCCCCAGGTGCCGTCATGGAACACCTCCACTCGGCCCTCACATCTGCTTGCCCCATTCACCAGCCGCACGCCCAGACCTTGGGTGGACATTCCAAAGCAAAGTCACTTTGAGTTCATCGCCAGAGCTCACCAGAAAACCTTCCATTTCCTTTGTTCTTTTCATGTCTTACTTTTGTCTTGGGAACCATGTGGTATGTTGTAGATAGTTATAACTGGTTTAAAAATAAAAACAACTGTTCCTTAATCAAGTGGACTAGTGACCTGTACCACTGCACAGGTGTCTTTTTACTGTGTGTGGTGACATCTTCATTTCTGACACTGAGTTTCTTCAATTTTTCGTGAGCTAACTAGCACACATGTGTGTGCATGTGTGTGTCTTTACACATGTTAATCAAGTAACAACAACAGTTCTTGCCTACGTTGTTCCCAGGATCAAGTATGGCTGAATGAATGCGTGAATCTATTCTCGGCAATGGTTAAGGTGGCTCCCTGCATGTTCACACCCACATCCAAAGGACTGTGTGTCCCAAGGAAGTAGAAGCCTTGTGTACTCAGGGCAGAGCAAAGATGAGTTTCGAAAGAGGGACTGGATGGAGACTGGGGGTCATTAGGAGTCTTCTTAGATGCCAATTCCCCAACCAGCCTCCTTGGATCTTACAGCCTTTTTTCCCCCTCTCACTTTCCAGTCTCAGATTTCTAGGTGGGGCCAGACAGGGCCAGGCTGAGGCCGGGGAGGAAGGTGGAAGCGGACAGTGTGTTGCATGGTCACACTTCCTCCATAGAAATGCTGGGTCTCTCTGAACTCACAAGGGGAAGGCAGCCAAAGAGACAGCAGGTTACCTGTGGATAGTGGTGCCTCAGTCGGCTTCAGGAAAGGTACTAAAGGTAATAGAAGGCAAAAGAAGAAAATCAGACATCTTAAGATTCATATGATATCTTAGTTACATGTCAGACATACTCAACTTGCAGTCAATTGTCAGTGGGATCTCCATCTTCTAAAAGCTCTGCACATACTTTCTGGCTCTAAATCAGATTTTCTTCTGATGTCCTTTTCCTTTTTATCCCCCAACTTGCATGTGTATAGCAAATAGGGACCAACTTGTATAAGCTCAAGACAACTAAAGCTTGGGGATTGATCAAGTTTTCTTTTTCTTTTTTAAAAAATCCCCCCCCCCTCAACTCTTTTCTGCATATTGGACTTCACTCTAAAGATTTGTGATGGGAAAACATTTAATCAAACTTGAAATGCAACAACGTTGGGGCCAGAGCCAGGAGCAGACTCAAAAGTGATGTTCTCAGCTTCTACCTTCTTAATTCTGCAAACAGAAGAATTCCTGCAGAGACAGATCCGTGCAGTGCTCTGGCCTTGGACCAGCTCGGAAAACCATAGCTAATGTCTACATAGCATGCTGTACCATACAGCAAGCACTGCTCTAGCCACACTGTACAGAGGCAGACACTAGCACCCAGCACAGCCTTACGAGGCAAATGTTTCTGTTCTCAGCCTCATCCAGAGGAAGATACTGAGCCATGCAGTGACTGGAAGACTTGCTGGAGGCCTAACAGCTGGGAAATGATGAAAATGGCATTTGACTTCTAAACCACTACAGTATGGGATAGCTCTGCCCAGGCCAGTTACTGACAGACAAGCCATTCAGATTCAGAAGAGCCAGGGACATTACCTGAAGTTGCGTAATTCACAGCAGCCGATGGTGTTGAATGAGGGAAGGAGGCTAGGAAAGACGGAAGGAGTGTGGTAAGTCATCTCGTTTCATTCTTAAGCCTGAGAGGTACCCTTGCTTATCAAAGCACATTGACTTGTTTGGGAGAGAATCTCAGACCAGATGTACCCCACTGGGCATCTAAGAGTGGCTCTGAGTTACTATAGCAACAGCCACCTCCCACCTTTGTTCTCTGGGGCCATTTCTGTCTTGTGACTGGACACTATACTGTAGCCATTGTTGTCCCTTTGTTTAAAGTACTTGTCTTGCCTGTTGGTTTGGTTGTATAGGTTTCTCTGTTTTTCTGTCATGTGTGTGATTGTGTGTGTGTATGTGTGTGTGTGTGTGTGTGTATGTGTGTGTGTGTGTGTGTGTAGGCCTTTTTCCCCCAGTAAATGTTGGTTTGTAAAGGGCAGAGCCACATGAGTCTCAAGGTTATGGACAAGCGACTCAACTCAGGGAGGGAGGCGGGGTGGCAGAGTTGGGCCAGGTCCTCCAGCTGGGGATGGAGGAGAACTCAAAACTGCTGCTTGGTGGCCCAGGCTTTTCTGACCCATCTCTGACAGCTAAGCCTCTACTCGATTCTCAGATGTCATCTGCAGCCTGTAGATTCAGTTTCTGTGTTATTCAGAGTATACTTTCATATTTTGACTTTTCTCTTCTCAGAACCAGTTCACCCTGTCCTGTCTGGCTGATATACTCGTCTGCCTCTTTCTAGCCAGGCCTAGTAGGATACAGGAATAGATGAGGGACATGTGGCTACATGCCTGAATTTATCAGCTGGGAGAGGCTGCCTAATAAGAGCCCCGGATGTGGATCTGGGCTCCTGGCTTTCTTTTAGGGAAGTTCTCTGTTCACCCCTCCACTCTTAGAAGTGTAAAGCGGAGTGAGTTGTCACTGTGAGGACCGGGGTAATTTGCGATAGTGTATCATCTGTCTTAAGACTTGCATATTTATTGCCTTAAAATTTTTAATTTACATTTAGTTCCATTCTAAATAGGAATATTTGCAGATGTGCATGGGTGTGAATTGATTGAAGTGAGTTCACGGTCACTTTTAAAGCATTTTAAACAGGATGTAAGGCCAGCCTGTCTGTTCAAGTACTGTCTGTTTGTGGCAAGTGGATCTGGTTCTGTACTTAGGATGGGCAAAGCATGAAGAAGGAAGTGTGAAAGCCACACCATGGGTGGCAGGTGGGAATGTGAGAACCGGATTGGCTGAAGTGTGAGGGGTAACGGTCTGGGGCCTGTCCCAGGTCCCCACCCCATCTCTTCCCTCTGCACTGGGCAGAGGGCTCCCCAGGGTGGGAAGAAGCCACAGGCCCACCCTCCCGGCTCAGACCCCAGCCCACCTGTGCAGATGACACCCGCGTCTTCGTGGTGGCCACAGTTGTGGGAGAACCAGCCCCCGTGCAGACACTGCCACAGCCGGCCTTCTGTCCCCGTGCACTCCACGTCGTCCAGGGCGATGGGGCCCACGCCTCGCTCGAAATGTGCCCGCCCGAGGGCCGCCCGGGCTCCGCCACAGCCCAGCTGCCTGCACACCACCCGGGCGTCCCTCAGGTCCCACGCGTCATCGCACACAGTGCCCCAGCTGCCGTTGTAGTGCAGCTCCACGCGGCCCTCACACGCGTGGCTGCCGCCGGCCAGCCTGAGGCCCACAGCTGGAGGACAGACGCCGAGTGAGGCCCACAGGGCACCCACCCGGCTTTGCGGCCTCCCACTTCCCCTCCCAGCCGAAGGGGGCCCTGGGGGCTAAATCTAGCTACAGAAGCATTCAAGTTGCATCTCTCATGGAGGGGAGGTTGCTTTTAAATGCTTTCCCCCAAACTGCACCAGCTCTGTGCTTCACAGAGCTCAAAGACGGCCTCCAAAGACCTGTGTAAGTTGACAATGACCACGTATGAACGTTTTTTATTTCTGTGGCAGCATAAGGGATTGAACCCAGGACTTCATGTTTGCTGGGCAGGTGCTCTACTACTTAAGCCATACCTCCAGCCCCTTTTGGTATTAGTTATTGGTAGGATCTTGCCTGCACTGGCCGGGCTGCAGTTCTTCTGCTTGTGTTTCCCCATGTCACTGGGGATGGTAGGCACATACCATCATGCCCAGCAATCGAGTGAAATGGAGTCTCACATACTTTTATGCCCAGGCTGGTTTCAAACCATGATCTCCTGATTTCCACCTCTCAAGTAGCTTGGGTTATAGGACTGAGCCACCACTCCTGACTGGAACAACATTCTTTCTCTCTCTCTCTCTTTGTCAGTTGTGGGGCTTGAACTCTGGGCCTGGGTGCTGTCCCTCAGCTCTTCAGCTCAGGGCAAGTGCTCTAGGACTTGAGCCACAGCACCACTTCTGGTTTTCTAGTGGTTAATTGTAGATAAGAGTCTCAAAGACTTTCCTGCCCGGCTGGCTTTGAACCGGGATCCTTAGATCTCAGCCTCCTGAGTAGCTAGGATGACAGGCGTGAGCCACCAGTGCCCAGCCAAGGAACATTCTTTGACACCATTGTGAACGAAAGTCTCCAACACAGGCCTGGCCAAGTCCCCCTCCTCAGCCTCGTGTGTTTAGCTCTAATCTCAGAAGTATGTGTGGAAGATGCTCTTCAAGTCACATCTTAGTAGACATGACTCCTAAGGAGCCTAGAAAACCTCTCTCAGTCCCTAGTGCCCACGGAGCTAAGTGGTCATTCAAATCCATCATCATTGTGACCAGGGCTGGGGGTGGGGATGACTGACGGACCTACCTGTGTCACTGTCATCCTGTATCAGAGCCTCATAAGATGCATAGAAGCCAACGTTGGTGACGATTTCATCACTGTGGAACACCACGGTCATCTGGTTTGATGAGGAGGTAAATATCGGGGTTGTTTCTGAGCAGAATCGTCCCAGTGAAAAAGATTCACTTTGTGGGCCATCAAAGATTTCAATGAAGTCATAGGGACAGCCATAGAAATTTTCCAGTCTGTGAAATGAAGTGGTGTCATTTAAGCTCGGACTATTGGAATTTTTTTTCTCCAGGAAGCAATTGCCCAGATGAACCCAAGAAAAAAGTTGGGGACAAGCTGCCAGAAATCGACCTCTCTTCTCACAGGTTGGAGGAAGTGCTACTCTCCTGTTTCTATTTTTAAGTTTCTTAAAATTGTGCACCAATGGTATTTTATGAGTATGCATATAAGCACATGGAATAGAATTCTAATGGCATCGATGGTTCATGGCAAAAAGTAAGATTTTCTTCTGTCCTTAATTTTTCTCTCTTCATTGCCACAATAGGAAGCCGCTGCTTCCTAGAAGCAGCTCCAATGAACAGTTTCTTTCATTTCCTTCCAGAGATAGTCTTTGCACAAATGGGAGTGGGCTATAGTATTGTTCAATATCCACAATGCATGTGACAGCTAAGAATGTACCCACAGTTATTTAACTGATCCACAAGAGATGGACAGCTAGATGGTGTCTGTCCTACTATGTAAAACATGTATATACTGCCATGATTGTCCTCAGTGCATACACAAGACATTGTATCTGTAGACAAGACTCCTGGGACTGGAAATGCTGGATTAAATGATCTGCTTGTGTAAAGTTTGCATCAACATTGCAATGAATTTCCAGGCCTTGCTCACTATTTTTTTTTTTTTTTTGTGTGTGTGTGTGTGTGCCTGTCCTGGGGTTTGGAATCAGGGCCTGGATGCTGTCCCTGAGCTACTTTGCACTCCACCAGGGAAACTATAGCTCTACTTCTAGCTTTTTGGTGGTTAATTGGAGATAAGAGTTTCATGGGCTTTCCTACCCAGGCTGGTTTTGAACTGTGACCCTCAGATCTCAGTCTCTTAAGTAGCTAGAATTACAGGCATGAGCAATGGATGCTGGGCCTCTAAATATGGAGGGCTTTTTGGGGGGGGGTGTTGGGTGGAAGGGAGAGGAGGGAGCAAAGAAGGAGCTAAAACTGGTATGCATGGCTGAAGGAAGGTGCCAGTACCAGCAGGAACTACTCACTTGACTACTTCAAATGTAAGTCTGATGTGAGCCCTGCTGTCCACTTGGATGTCCCAGGTACACACCACATTTGTGGGGTATTTTTTGGGATACCAAGGGCTGGAGAAAGAGCCAGAAATATTTGTGAGCAAACCACCACAGTGGAAATCTTCATCTGTAAGAAAGTGAAGAAACTCCATCACAAAAGGTTATTGACTTGAACGGTTTCTGTTTCTGTTCTTTTTTGTTTGTTTGTTTTTTAAAGTGGGGTACGATGAGAACAGGAGGAAAACAAGCCAGACATGGTGCTATGGGCCTGGGATCCCAACACTGGGGAGGCTGAGGCAGGAGGATCATGCGTTGGAGGACAGCCCGAGCTCCATAGCTAAACTCTGTCCCATGAAAACAAAAGTAAAAGGAAACAAACCTAGTCTATGTAGTAAAACCCTGTCTCCAAACCAAACCAAACGAATAACAAAAAGAAGTAGGCTGCTGCTGCTGAAGGTTGGGTCCTTCAACCCTCCATCATGGTCCTCTGCAGATGACCATCACGGCATGTGCTTTTGTGGAGAGAAAGCAGCAGAATCACGAGTTTAAGGGGTTCTATGAATCCATGAGCATAGATAGGCACACACAGGCAACGATAGTGGAAAAAATATCAAGGAATAAACACAATGCAGGGCTAAGTAATCTCCCTCAGCACAGTGGGTTTGTTATAAACCACCCAAGATCAGCAAACTACCCCCTCACCCCGCAGATGAGTTTATTAAAATAATTTAAACTGATCCAGTGATCTGGGTTCCTACATTAACAAATCAAAATTCCATGCAGTGTAAACTGCTTTGGCCAATCAGAAGCTTCCAACTTGTCTCTTGGGATTCACGCTGAAATGATGCCAAGGAGGCCACTGCTCCACTATCACCAAACGTTTTGATTGCCTCCAAATCTACACTGTCGGGCTCCCCTCCCCCCTCAAGTCCCCACGCAGGGTGCCCTGGACTTCGGTGGCCATTCAGTGGAGTCCTAAACTATTTCATTTTGGAGTCACTGAATTCCAAAGTGCTTCCTTATTTTTGCCGCGCAGGTTCTCTACGATTTGGACCATGCACCCATTCCTTTTTGCTCCAGTGACTTTTTGAATAGAGTCTATTTATGCCCACACTGTCCTGGATCATGACTCTCTTATTTATGCTTCCTATATAGCTGGGATGACAGGGCTGAGATGGGAATCTTGCAAATGTTGTTATGTTCCCCATGGCAAGATCTCCAGGTCTTTGCCTCCTGAGTAGCTGAGATTACAGGCATGAACCCCTGTGCTCAGCTTTAAAAATTTAATATGCCAAAGTTTATCTTTTAACAATTAGACACAAATCGTAGCTGAAATCAAGACCAAGATTACCTAAAGTGTCCAATTTTAGCTGCAATATTGGCTATACATATGCATACACATGGAAGGATATCCTTCTAGATTCAGGAATAGCTAAATGGAAAATAAAGCACATGCAGGACAGTACATACAAAGCTGAAGTATACCTGTAAAGGTGTTGTCATCTGAGATGCCTGTAAAAATGCAGAGGAAAAAAAAGTACCATGAGCAAAGACTTTTATCCAGAACACTCATCGAAAATACTCAGGAACTTGGAGCCAGGCTCTGGTGGCTCCCGCCTGTAATCCTAGCTACTCAGGAGACAGAGCTGAGGATTGTGTTTTGAAGCCAGCTCCCCTGGGAAGACAAATCTGTGAGACTCTTATCTCCAAGGAACCAGCAAAAAACCAGAAGTGGAGATGTGACTCAAGTGGTAGAGCACCCACTTTAAGTGAAAAAGCATGAGGCCTGGAGTTCAAGCCCAGGTACCAGCACAAAAATAAAGTAAGAAAAATAGAATAGAATAGAATTGAATACTCAGGAACATTGACCTCAAAAGCTGTGCCCATGGACAGGAGGGTGTCTGATAGCTCAAGGGCTTGGACATTTGCATCTCACCATACCATACCACACCATACCACTTTTGTTGAAGTTGACCCTGAGGTGTCTACATGTTTGCTCCTTCTGGTGTACCACAGCGCAGCCCTATGGTCCTCTCTCCACAGCAGACATGACTCAGGGAGACCCCAGCTCACATCTCAGGCCTATCTGAACCCCTCTTCCTTCCTACCTCTCTTGCTCTCACCTTGGTAGCCCCTCGCCCCACTGTGTGGTCAACCCCAGTGGGCTGTTTGTACATCAGAGACCTGGCAAACAGAATGAACGGTAGGGCTGAACCGTACCTGTTGGTCCTCTGCTTGGACTGGCATTGATACCTATCAAAGACAGGGGAGGCCATGAGAGACAGATAGGGGAAGATGGTTGCATCAGTCATTACAAAAATCTGGTACTTGTTCTGGATCAATGATATTCTGTTGTGAGCCATGGGGACAGCAGTATCAAAACGCATCAAAGTTGGCTGAAAGTTAAGTGCCTTCTGGGTAAGGGCGTACACATTATTCTTGGTGGCTCAAATGCAGCCCCATACTTATTTGCAGTGACTGAGATTTTTTTCTTCCTTCTTTTTTTCTTTTTTTGTCAGTTGTGGGGCTTGAACTCTGAGCCTGGATGCTGTCCCTGAGCTCTTCAGCACAAGGCTAGTGCTCTACCACATGAGCCACAGTGCTGCTTCTAGTTTTCTGGTGGTTAAGTGGGGATAGGAGTTTCATGGACTTTCCTGCCTGGGCTGGCTTTGAACTGTGATCTTTACATCTTAGTCTCCTGAGTAGCTAGGATTATAGGCGTGAGCCACCAGTGAACTTTTTAACAGAGTTGAGCTCAGCAAGGCAGTATTTTCAGAGTATATGTGATCTTAGATCTTCCTTTTCTTTCTTAAAGTCAACATACTAATGGCTGACATGGTTAGAAGCTACAAAGATTAAATGAGAACACAAATACACTGCTTGTAGCACAGAATTTGGCTTGAGTGCAGCTCTGGCTAGGAACCAGCTACTGTTTCTACTCAGGAGAATGGACTGCCTCCAATGCCTGGGCATGCCACACGAAGAATACAATGTGTGATGGTTCCAACCCCTTAGTTAATAACCAAAGAATACAATGTGTGATGGTTCTGACCCTCTAGTTAATCATCAAAGCTTTTCAGGTGGGATCTGGAGCATTTTATACACACAACAACTAAGGAGAAAGAAAACGAATCCTTAAACATATTGACCTAACTTGCTTGCTGCCCAGGGCTGGTTGCTGACCGTGGGCTAGCATGGAGGCCTCTGCTGGGGAGCCGGCCCTCCCCCAGGGGAGCTGTGTGCCCGCAGCGCTTACCTGAGCAGATGACGCTAGCGTCCTCATGGTGCCCGCAGTTGTGGGAGAACCATCCGTTGTGCGTGCACTGCCACACCTTGGCTTCCTTCCCCGTGCACCGCACATCATCCAGCAGGATGTGGCCAGTTCCTCCGTTAAAGTAGCTCTGAGTCGGGGCTGCCATGGCTTCCCCGCAGCCCAGCTGCTCACACACCACCTTGGCATCTGCCAGGTCCCAGCTGTCATCACAGACGGTGCCCCAGGTGCCATTGTAGGAGACTTCCACTCGGCCCTCACACCTGTGGTTACCATTCACCAGCCTCAGGGCCAGACCTGGGGGACGAGGAAAAGGGGACTTCCATGAGTACAGGGCCATCTTCGAACTCTAGAACTTTCTCCAAGTTGAAATGTTTTTTTAGACTTGGGGACCCCTAGGTAGAATAGCACAGTGTCCTGATTTCCTGAGATAGCCCTGGCTTATGGCCATTGACTACTAACACCTGTTATTTATTTTAGAATCCCTTTCAACTCTCAAAAGTACCTCAATTGGTGACAACTTTGTGTCACTCTAGGAAAAAGGAAACCAGTGCTCTGAATCACTTCCTGTACTGCAGAACCTAAGAGGTTTGTATGTGTTCCGGACAGTATGTACTAGGTTCAGCCAGGAGCTTGTGGGCTGATAGTAGTAGTTGGAGATGATTTTTCCATCTGAATGATTTTTCTTTTTTCTTTTTTTGTTGGTCATGGGGCTTGAGCTCTGGGCCTGGGTGCTGTCCCTCAGCTCTTCAGCTCAAGGGGGGTGCTCTACCACTTGAGTCACAGTGCCACTTCTGGTTTGGAGATAAGTCTCACGCACTTTCCTGCCTGGGTTGACTTTGAACCACGATCCTCAGATCTCAGTCTGCTGAGTAGCTAGGATGCTAGGCATGAGCCACCGGCACCCAGCTTGAATGATTTTTCTTATTGGGTTTTCCTTTCCTTTGGGGGAAGAAGGCCCTTAATCGGGTCCTCTGTCAGCATGCAACAGACAATGCAAGATGCAATGTCAGTCGTCTCTTTCCTCAGAGAGGACAGAGCAGGGTGAGGACTGGAGCTGGTGACTCTCGGTGTCAGTACAATGTCATCAGAGGAGAGGGACAAGTCAGGTGGGATTTGCAATCTTCTCTACTAAAGAAGAGAAGCTTGTAAATAAGCTACACATATTTCCTTCCAGGGAGTGTGTGACAATACCCACCGCTCTGGCTTTCATCTTGCTGGATGGTGTTGTACAGAGCGTAAAACCCTGTGTTGGTGACCATGGCATCGCTTCTGAACACCGCAGTCATGACGTTTGAAGAAGAGAGGAACGTGAGCCCAGTGCCAGCACATACTCGGCCCAAGGATCGCGAGGCGGCTGGCTGTCCATCGAACACCTCCACAAAGTCATAAGGGCACCCCGAGATGTCCTCCAGCCTGAGCAAATGACGGCAGCATCAGTTTTCCCAGAGACATGGGCACAGGAACCCCTTCCAACTCCTTCTACCTCATCTCCACACACACACGGCTCGACCTAGGAGTCTCTCGACTCTGCCTCGTGTGCCTTCTCCCAGGGCTGCCCATCTGCTAGACTCTTTCTCACCTTGTGTATTTTAGCAGCTTCTCACCTTGAACCCTGGCTTTCAGCTTCTCCCACCCTCTTCTGCTCTACCTGGAGTCTAACTCTATCTCTACTGTGGATGACCCTAACTTGGACAATCAGTCTGTGCTAACCATGTTATCTACAGCTAGCTTCTCCTTTGCTCAAGCAAAACACTGTAGTTTCTAATGCATTAACTTCATAGCAGCTTAACACTATCTAAAATTGTCCCTTGAGTTAATGGCTTATTCAAGTATTATTTGTTTTTTTCCAGCTGATTAAGAACTGAGGTCTTGTCTGTTTCCTCATACAACAAAGCACATTTCCATACTGGAACCCTCATGGTAGGGGGATAGGTTCAGCAATAAGTATGGGAAACCTACCATGACAAAGTGTTAGGTACATACGCTTGCACCTAAACAGTAAGCCGCATTCGATGCCCACATTACAGCATCTCACCCCATAAAATATACCCACTCAGTGGACACCATTACAATTTGCAAACAAACTAAATACCGGATTTGGAAGCTTACTATGCAGAGCATATTTATTCCAGTGGGGAGGCGGGGAGAAGCCACCGACCTAAAAATAAACCATTTTTAATTGTTAGGAGAAAGTGAGTGATAATACTTGTATGCAAGGCACACAGTGAGAATTGTAAGAGTGAAATGAAAATGGAGACCAGCCTTAAAGAATCCTGAAGCGGACAAGCCAAGTGGGTTGTGTAAGTGACCTTAGCCCTGCTTGGCTTGCAAACATAAGCAAATTTGTCTGTGGTAAAGGAAACAGAAATTAGGCTGCACCAGAAGCAGTCAACACCAGGGCTTTCTAATAGGAAAGGCAGCCACGCAGGCATTTCTTCGCTGTGTGCACCATCACGGGCTTCCCCTGGCCAGCTCTCAGGGGCGCTCTCGAACCGTCTCTGGTGGGGTGACACGAATCCTTGTTTGCCAAAAAATTAAAAAAATTTTTTTTTACTGTGCCTTATTTTATCTAGTTTAACACAGGTGACCTTTGAATCTGAGAAGTTATTTCCTCAGAAGGAAAGAAACCGTGGGAATGAGATGACATAATTGAAATATGTATCCTTTTTTCAACAAATCCAGTATGGGAGTTTTGTGGTCGTTGAAACGGGAAAACAAAGATCATCTCAAGTGTCAATCAGAATTCCACCATCCCAGCACCTCCTCCAGAGGGAAGGAGAAGGGAGGGGAGGAGAAGAGAGGGTAAGATAGGGAAGGGGAGCAGAAGGGAAGGGAAGGGCTGGGAAACTGCCTTGTGCTTTAGAGAACATTCAGCAGCAGCCCTGAACACTATCCACTAGATGGCAGCAACACGCTCCAATTGTGACAATCAACAAGGCCTGCAGACCTGGCCAAAGTCCTGAGAGAGCTCAGAATCACTTATTCCTACTTGAGACCACTCTAAAAACAAATGAATGTTATGTTCTGAGAAAAAAAGCAAGTAACAAATTTGCAAATTTGCAAAATAGCGAATTTGGACTTCAACCCATCACATCCATTCCATTCAGCAACTGTCTTCTCCCCCAGCCACCTCCTGGACTTGTACGCTTCCCAACTATCATAGGAATTTAAGCTGGAATATCAACCATTACATTACAGACGTGGGTCAAACAGTTTTGGAATAGCTATTTTCCAGAACTGATAGAATACCATCCTGTTCCCTAAAACATTAGAACTGTGAATTTCACAGATTTGAAGGATATGGTACCAAAATTCTCATGAACATATATGCTTTGAATGAATGAATTTGTAAGTATAGTTTGCTCAGAAAAAACAGTTCCCCTGACACTAGGTTATGTCCTCTTTATCCAAAAAGAATTTAGTCATCATATAAAACCAGCTGAATTTACCCCTCACTCCACTACGTACCCTTTGTATTCAGAGCCCTTCAGACCCTTGACCACGCTGTGGCCAATGCACACAGATAGAAAACATGGATGAGGTCTGGGACACATGGTAAGGCAAATCCAGGAAGAGTGAATGACCCAGATGTGGCCCAGCAGAGACAGATGAAATCAGGGCTAAACATAACCAGGCAAAGTATTCTTCCCCCATAGAAGGTCACTCATGTGCATGACCTTGTGTATGAATATATGCATGTATATGAATATATGCATATGAATAGATGAATATATGTATGAATATATATGTGTATATGAATATATGGTTAAACATTACCAGGCAAAGTATTCTTCCCCATAGAAGGTCACTCATGTACATGTTGTTGTATATGAATATATGCATGCGTATACAGTTGGTTCTCTATCTGCAGATTTTAAATCTGAGGATTCAACCAACCGTGGATTCATAATATTTGAAAAATTAGTATCTGTACAGAATATAAGCAGACTTTTTTCTTGCCATTACTCCCTAAATAATATATAAACTATTTATAAAGCATTTACTGTGTATTAGGAGTTATAAGTAATCTGAGATGACTGAAAATATACAAAGAGACATGCTGTGATGCTTTCTATAGGAGACTCACATATCTGTGGGCTTGGCACTGGGAGGGGACCTCACACCAAGCTGTGGTGCATACCAAGGGCCAAAGTGTACACATGCTTATAAACACACTTAAATAGGAGAACACCTTTGATTAGAGAAAGGTGTAGGAAGTATAAGCTACACAATGGGAGGAATGAAAGAAACCCTGTAATTTGTAGAAGAAAATTCCAGGTAGGAATATGCTAGAACTTCTTGAAGGGAAGAGGAGCAAGATTTTGATTGTGTAGCACTCAAGTAGGTAAGAGGAAGGGCAGATGTGCGCTGAACTGGAAGCAGCTTGTGTCTCTGAGGGTGCAGGGACGAGGGCGGCGTCTGTGAGCAGCGTTCACTCCAGCTACGTACGGCTCCATGGCCGCCTGGCATCTGGATGTTTGTGGACTATTCTCTCATTGAATAGGAGGCTGAGCTAAATGCCTGGAATATTATTATAGCTCCCATGACCAGACCAATTCTCATTGAAAACGGGTAAGGATTTGTCCATTGGAAAGGGCATGTGTATGGGAGGTTCAGAGATCCAGCCTGGCTTTTAGACTCGAGAAAGTCAAAGCTGCTTACTGCACAGTGGGGATCACCAGCTCTATGTGGAACGCCTCGGCCACGTGTATCACCCAGACACACTCCACGTCCGTGGGGTAGTTGGTAGGGTACCAGGGACTGGAGAAGGAACCCGAGAGACTGGAAATGACGCCGCCACACACGTTGCTTCCTTCTGTGGGAGCAGATGAGACACCGTGGTTGGCTTCACATGTGCCGTGCATTTTCTCAGTTGCAGAACCCAGAATTTTAAACGCCATAGTGCACTTACAAAACAAAAAGAGACTGCTGCCCTGGATCTCGCTGCGTCTTAGTGACTGTATTTGTGAGCACAGGTCATATTTCTCTTTAACTTGGCAGAAATGGAAACTCAGTGTTGTACCTACCTGGGGGCTTCGGAGTCACCGCTGCCGCCCAGTCCCCAGCATCTACAGGCATGGAAAAGAAGTGCATTCAGAATGTAAAAGATGTACATCCTAACAAATTCACTGAAGACAAAAAATGACGAATTTCTAGCATGAGAACCTCTTAAGCAATCAGACTTTGTATTTTACAAGCAAGCACAAATGACAGCTTTCTCCAGAGAAGGCATCAGCCATTTGAGTGGCTCTGGTGTGTTTGTGTGTGGATCAGTCAGGTTTTCAGTGTCCTGTGGCTACTTGGTTCAATGGGCATTCATCTGTTAGCAACTGGCCCCAGTTCCCTGGCCCTCCACCCATCACTAAGATGCTTCACAGAAGGAAGAGAGGAGAGGAGGGGATACCTGAGCAGACAACACCAGCATCCTCATTGTGGTCACAGTTATGGTCTGACCAGCTAGCGCTGGGGCACTGACCGAGGTGGTTCTCACTTCCGGAACACTGGATGTTGTCCAGGAGGATGTCTCCAGAGCCTGGGCCAAAGGAGGCCTTTCCCAGAGCAGCAATGGCGGGTCCACAGCCTAGCTGTCTGCACACAACTGCGGCTTCATTCATGTCCCACAGGTCATCACACACGGTGCCCCAGGCCCCCTGATGGAGGACCTCCACACGTCCTGAGCACCGACTGGAGCCCCCCACCAGGCGCAGTGCTGGCTCATTTTCTAAACAGAGAAGGGATATATGTAAGGAGTAACATCTTCCATGCTGGGCCTAAGACAAACACAAGGGCAAAACTTTTAAAACCATCTTGATTCCATTGTAGGCTCAAGGATGCTGGAGGGGAGATACAGTGGGTTTGAATCCCAGTATTATTGCTCCCTAGTTGTGTAATATCTGATCAGTTCTTTTGTCCCCTGAGCCTCAGTTTCCTTCATCTATAAGATGGGGACTCCAGCATCTGTCAGTGATCATGAGAATAAACACAGTTCAGCATCCCGCATGTCATGGTTACTGCCAATCTTGTGATGAGCTTCTGCATGCTGGTTATTAGGGAACTAGAATCCCCCACTTCTTTTGGATGAGCCTTAGCTATGTGTAGATTTAATCCCTGCAGGGCCTCAGGCCAAGGACGTGACTATGATTTCATAGAGCCCAATGAGAGTAGCTATGTCTGAGTGAAAGAGCTGTGGTCAGCTAGAATTACCTCCAGTCTTCTGGAGATACCTCAGGGACAGGACCCCCTTTCTAGACTTCCAGGCTCTGCTACTGCAACTGTCTTTCTGTGGCTCTTTCCTCTTGAAGATCTTTACATTTTCTTTCTGCCTGAAATGTCCCTGGACTTCCTCACATGTCTCTTCCCCAGAAAGCCCCTCCTTTCCCACCGGGTCTACTGTAGCCCCTTCCCCAGGGAGCTCCACATGTCACTTTTTTTTTTTTTGTTGGTCATGGGGCTTGAACTTTGGGCCTGGGTGCTGTCCCTCAGCTCTTCAGCTCAAGGCTAGCACTCTACCACTAGAGTCACAGCACCACATCTGGCTTTTTCTGCTTATGTAGTACTGAGGAAATGAACCCAGGGCCTCATGCATGCAAGGCAAGCGCTCTACCACTGAGCCACCTTCCCAGCCCCACATGCCACGGTTTATCCTCAGCCTTTATATTTACTATTGTTTTTATCCTTCATCCTAAATAACCTCATTTCTTGTTTCTTATGCCTTGATCTTTCCCCTCATATCTACATCCACATGACAGTACAAGGCAGGGGATTGTATTGCTTGCTCTACTTGCTTGTTCCTATACTCAATGGAGCCTGGCTTGAGTGTCTGGATTCTTAAATTTGGAGTTTGTGTAGCTTACCCAAGGTAGGATCTCATACACACCATTGAGTGTCATATAAAGGGAAATCCCTTACACAGAAACAAATGAACTGAAACTTCATCCTAGATCTTAGGGACCCCTGAAGACCAGAAGTCCCATAACTGGCCAGTAGTGTGCTTACCAGGTGAAAATTGAACTTGGGTTTGCAATGACTGGCTATAGCACCCCAGATAATAGGCATCAACAATCCTCTCATTTGGATGGGTCTAAAAGCCAGTGCATTAAAAGTGTGAAATGGGTCCGCTGGAGGAGGGCAGTAGTCTCCTGAATATGGGGCCTCCACATTTCAGCACTCTGGACAGCTCCCACAAGGCTGGATATAGCAGACAGCCCTCCAGACCCTGCGGGACAGTAGCTGCCTATCACCACCTTACTGTAACTTGCCACGTGGCTCTCCTGGTGAGAAACCCTAGCACCTTTGAAGCAGAGCTGATAGAGTTATGTGTGGGGATCTTTTAAAACTGAGTCTCAGGCCTCTGCCCGTGGGGGATGCCCTCTCAAGTTAACAACTGCCTTCTTTTATTTACCCAAAGCTTTATACATTTGAAGCTTCCTACCTGGCTCCCCTTCTTCCACTGGAATCGCATGAAACAGAGCATAAAAGCCAGTGTTGGTTATCATGTAATCACTTCGGAACACCACTGTCATGATATTTGAGGAGGAGAAAAACATAACAGCTGCTGAGGCACAGAACTTCCCCATGGAGAGGGAGGCGATCCTGGGGCCATCAAAGATCTCAACCGAGTCATAGGGACATCCAAGAATGTCTTCCAGACTGGGAGGAAAGAAGCGGGGTGAGGGGGGGAGGTCAGCGGCAGGTTACCAATGTCCTCGTTATCAATGCCCCCCAAAAACGTGGTGATCACTGAACTGATCATTGAATATCGGGAGTGCAGTTTAAATTGCACATGAATACACAAATATTGATTAACCTTTTCAGGTGCTTTGTCTTTGCTTGAGAAAAATGTGTGAAGATGGCGGTAACACCTTTAAGACAGAAGCTTTAAAATCATTAATGTTTTTAGCCAATCACAATGAACCCAGGTTTTAGTTAACAAAGATAGCATGGTTTAGGACCTCTGTCTGCTTGCTTGCTTGCCTAGGGTTAACCCTATGGTCATGGGGTTAGTCATAATAAAAAAAATAATTTGCTGGGTTGGCTAAGGCTAGTTTACTGTGGAATTCCACGGTCTTGGACTGCGGTAACATGATGTGTGTCATGAACAACAAAAAGAGATTTTTTTTTTGTAAATTTACTCATAGAATCATATTTGTATGTGTGAAAAATATCATAATGAAGTCCATTCTTAAACAAGTCATAGATAAGAAGAGATGATCAGCTTCACTATTAAAGACAAAAATTCTCATATTGTACAGAACAGATTTGGACTGACCCGTGTAGGTTTCCTTGAGCATCTAAGTTTCCTTCTCAGTCTCTTTACCTCACCCCTAAGGGGATGACAAACACGTCTATCTTTGGGCTATCATGACAGTGGAATAAGACAAAGCATAAAAGCATGTACTATGGAGTCTGGACATAAAGAATGCAAAAAAACGTAAAAATAAAAACATGACAGTGCCTTTGGAATCACTATTTTCTTCTTTTCACTTAGTGGAATATTTAGAAAATGCACAACCCAAGGCTGGAATATTTGTCTAATGTGTATATAAGAAAGTCTCTTAGTGCTCATTTAAAACTTAGATTAGAAAAAAAAAAAGTGTAAGAAGACAGATATTAAGACTCAGTGTACCATGGGTATGTATTGAGAATTTCTGTGATGTTTTAGGGAAAATGGTCAAAAGAAAAGCTATCAAATAGGCTGATGATTTATTGTGTGTCAAATAACCCAAATTTGGACTTGGACAGACTATGGAGTTTTATATTCTTCCATTTTGACCTTTAAATGTTTCCCAATAGAAAACAAACCTTTATTATATTTTGAAAATGAGTATACTTATTTAGATAAAATCTCTCTAATAACTGTTTCCTTACTTCAAACTTGGAATCATGAGTTCTATATGAAACTTTTTGTCCACGTGGATCTCCCAAACACACTGGATGTCTGTTGGGTAGTTTTCTGGATACTGTGGACTAGAAAATAAGCCGGAAAGACTAGAAATGACTCCTCCACAAGAATTGTTTTGTCCTGGAACAATAGGGAAAAAAGAACGTCAGGAGGTCATTTGTATAGCCATAGGAATGATGGCTCATGGCCAGTGGTTAAAGCTTGCTGCGAGAGACAAAGAGTAGGTCTTCTTAAAGATTGGGAAGGAGGGACAAAGGAGACAGAGTATACATGCAGAGTTAGGGAGGTGTGAGCAGCAAGGAGTTCTAGAACAACCCTACAGTTTGACGAGTCAAAGACAAAGAGAAAGGGACATGGTGCACTGTTGTGGGAAGTTATAACTGGGATCTTCTATAGGAGCTTGTCTATCCTTTTTCCCCCTGTATAGGTTATGTTCCCTTTAACTCATTCTGCTCAGACTGAAACTTGCAAGTTTGAGGATTTGTAAGGGTTAAAATAAAGTAACAGCAAAATCAAATCCTTTCATATTAGTGGTCACATTAACATAAATAAATTTACACATGTACAGCACATGTATATATTTAAGATAGCATGCACATAAGGAAACAGAAAATGTAGCATCATCAAATTATTCTGGAGGAAGTTTGAAAACACCCAAGAGATTTCATTGACCTTGTCCCTGAATCACAAAATTCCTTAATTTTTCTTCCTTCTGTCCCTCTGGTCAACTTATACTTCTCCCAAAGCTCTGCAGGTCCCTAGTCTTTCCTGGGCTGAATGGTGGGAAGTAGTGGGGCACCTGGCATCCTATCTTCCATGACTGATTATTGATCACAGTAATAGGTTACAACAGCAGAGCCTGTCAGACTGACATTGAGAGTCGTGCTCTCCAGAGTCTGTACATGTGAGGCAGGGGGTTGATGGCTGACCGGCTGACTCAGGACTGCTAGTGCTCACCAGAGCATTGGGTGAATGTGGGCCAAGTGGACTGGGAACCATGTTCTAGTCTCTCTTGTCACCCTGGGCAGCTTCCTGTACTGCTAAAAAGCCATCATTTACAGAGTGTCAGCACAGAAGCCCGAGCTGCTCTCAGGGCTCCTCTATGCTGTACTTCAGCATATCACCTGCTACTGGCTGTGAAATTCTCCTGACAGGGAGCGACCCTTTCAACTTAAAAATAAGTCCCAACTTACCTGCTACTGGATCCCAAGAACTCACTAAAGGACCTGGGAGAGAAAAACAAACATTAAAACGGAGATACTATTGATATCTGGGGGAAAATACCTTTGGAAGTTAGCAAAGTGTGAGTGTTTCCTTGGGAATATCTACGTACTTAGTGCAAATGGAGAAGGAAGTTGCTGCTGAATATTCTCTATGCTTTTCTGGCAGATCAAAGCAGGCCACACATTCCTGGACATACTTGCCCATTACTAGGCTTCCTCCTTTAAGAACAGTTGGGCTCTGTGACTGCCTTGAACAGCATAGCAGAAGGAGTGCTGTGCTTTTTTTTTGTTTGTTTTTGTTTTTGTTTTTGGGTCCGGTAGTGGGCCTGAACTCTGGGCCTGGGCGCTGTCCCTCAGCTCTTCAGCTCAAGGCTAGTGCTCTACCACCTGAGCCACAGCGCCACTTCCAGCTTTTTTCTTTTTGCTTATGTGGCGCTGGGGAATCGAACCCAGGGCCTCAAGCATGCAAGGCAAACGCTCTACCACTGAGCCACCTTCCCAGCCCCGGAGTGCTGTGCTTTAAGGGACCGGTGGCTTCCACTTCCTGTGTTTGAGCAAGGCTGGCTTACTCGGATAGTCCTATACTACCTTATTGACTGAAGTCTGCCGTCCTGTTGGCCGAACCATGTAAAAGGGCCAGCTGGAAAGGCGGAGGGCCCCGGTGTGAACCCCTCCTCTCAGTGTTCCCACGAAGCCAACAAGTAAGAGGTTCTGCTCGATGCTCTGGGGTGCAGAAGAATCTCACAGCTAAGCCCTGCCCAAATTCCTAACCCACTATACCACTGCATATGTCTACATGGCTGATGTACTGAACCACGAAGGGATAGCCACAGATAACCCGAATAGCTTCTTTCATGAGACATGTTTTCCCCATTCCTCTACCATTCATACAATTTCCACACAACAGGGAAGCTGGAGATGAGTCTTCCTTTGACTGTCTGGCTGTGAGACACAGCTCCCATTCACCCATAAGATCATGTAAAACAGCAAAGATTTATCAGTGGGCTGTATTGACAAACTATGAATTTCAGTAGGATAGTAGGTATAGGAAATTCATTTTGACCTATGATATGACTAAATTATAAATTGAAGGACAGTTGTATATTCATGAACAGTGCCCATTAACAGTGCCTAGCTCTTAATATTTATAAGCAGTCGCTGTTATTATTATTCTTGTTGTTATGATTATTGGAAAGCTCCCTAGGAAAAAACAGGGACATACCTGGAGGTGTGGGTGGCAGGGCATCTTCTGCATCTGCAAACACAAAGGAAGACCTCAGGTCACTGTCCTTAATAAGCCCAAAGGGTAGACAGATGATATGACAAGGGCTGTGTGGAGAAGTATAAAAGAGACAGGGTGCTGCCTTTCTGAGTACAGGAGTTAGACTACTAGAACTTCCCACTGGGCACCTGCAGCCCTTCTCCAGCAGGATGACTTAGGGAGCCAGGGCATGACAGCGCTCTTGGCTACTCCTATGCAGAATCCCTGAAGGATCTGTTAAAGTGAGTTCTCTTAAGCCCCCTTTCCAAACCTACTTAGTCCTAGTGTCTAAGCAGAGCCCAGAAATCTCAATTGTAATGCCCCAGGTGGTACTGGTTCCAACACCTCTACTACAAATCTCGGAGCTGCCCATGACAGGGCATATGTCTGCTTCCAGGGCCTGGTCCCAAGAGGGTGCTTGATGAATGAACAAAGGATGATGAGTGGATGAATGGAAGGATAGAAGGATGGAAAGAGGGAAGGAAAGAGGGAAGGAAAGAGGGAAGGAAGGAGAATTCTACCCATGAAAAATGGTTTCAATGATAACATCCATTCATTCCGTTCATTCTATTCTTCTTCTTGTATTATCCTATCCTAGTCTTTCTTTTATGGCCTTGGGGTTCAAACTCAGGGCTTCCCCGGGGACTTTTGTCTACCTGAGCAGATGACACTGGCATCCTCGTGGTGGCCGCAGTTGTGCTCCAACCAGCCTGAGTGGGCACACTGGCCCAGGTACTGCTCTATCCCAAAGCACTGGAAGTTGTCCAGGAAGATGTCTCCGGAACCTGGGCCAAAGTAGGCCTCACCAGGGCCAGAAATAGCTGTACCACACCCCAGCTGGCGGCACACGACCTCAGCTTCTTTCAGGTCCCAGAGATCGTCACACACGGTGCCCCAGGCCCCCTGATGAAGGACCTCAACGCGACCCGAGCACCGGCTAGGGCCGTCCACCAGCCGGAGCTCTGGCCAGTCACCTGCAGACAGAGATATGGCACGTGAGCAGCCACAGAGGCCAGTCTGGGGTCCAGCAGGCCCAGGCTGGGAGGTTGCCTCCTCTCTAAGTTGTAAGTCTTGGGACTAGCTTGTTTCTCGCTTTCCTCATAGGCTCATTCATTTCAAAAGTATCTATCCATTATTTCCTGTTAGGAAACAGCTAAAAACCAAGAAGCCCATCTTTTCTAGTAAAATATACACACTGGTGGGATGCATTATCCCGTGCACACAATGCCATGATTACATATGAAAAATCAAAAAGTCAGTCTAATAAGGCTTTCTAACAGCATCTCAACAGTGTGAAAAAAAATCTGTGCTTTGGACAAGGAGTGAACTCAGACATATAAGACTAAAACAATTCCTGAACAAAGTCATGTACTGCTGACAGTTAACTCCCATCAATGCAAGGCTATGACTCACCATGACTGTTCGTCTGAGATTCTCTATCACCTGAAAATGGGGAAAAGTCAGTATGTCAGTATTTTGAGAAATCCATGACTTTAATATTAAAAGTGATGTTTGATTATACCTTTACACCTGTTTATTAATCCAGCATGGGAGAGATTAGTCCCTTGAAATAACAAAGCACAACAGAATTAGCTCTAGACAGAAAAAGTAAGCTTCTCTGTGGTTGTTGGCTTGCTACTTGGTGGTAAGAAAATGGCAGATGTGGAAGTGCACATCTGGCTTAAACTTTTTATTTTGTTGTGGATAAATTTCACTTTGGAGGTCTTCATAGGTATCTCAAATCGGACAATTATCTTCTACAGTGCTGAAACTTGGAAATTGCATAGGCTTATGAATCTGGGCCTAGGTTATAGGTGTAACACACAATATACCATAAAACCAATGGACAAATGAATCACCAACATCCAAGACAATACTTTAATGTATGTACATATATGTAGAGAGAGACAGAGAGACAGAAACAGAGACATGCATACATATATATGTGTGCATATATATTTGTTTCCATTTCCTGGAACTCATTTTGATAAATGTTATTTCATATGATCAGATGCACATAGACATTATGCCTTTCTGTTCCTCTCCTAAGAGTATCCTCCTATTTGCATATGTTTGAGACAAGTTCTTGCTATGTAGTCTGGGCTGGCTTTAAACTCCTGATCAGCTTCTTAAGCCTATGCCTGACATAGACAATGATTTGTTAAAAAAAAATTTAAATTAAGAGCCACATGCAGTAGGGCTGCATACACATGGACAGTTCTATGTAGTGAATACATTCTATGCAGTGAATATTATTAAAGTCATGTCAGAGATTGCAATTGTTAATTTACTAAAAGGTAGCTCTTTGTCAGGACTGTTAGAACAGACTTCCGAGAGGTAACCAACTTATTGCCAGATGTCGACATATAAGTACTATAAAAAATTTGTCACAAGGCAATTTAAAGAAGTCATTTTAGCTGACAGATTTCCTTGTGTTATGACTGAGTGAGGAAAATAGTAGTAAGCATCATCAAACGTGCACCCTATAGTGAGGTACCACACAAGTCTTTTGCAAAAGAGGTTCTGAGAAGGCAAGCGCAGGCCAAATACAGTCAATGTGTTCATGCCAACTATGAGCCATCCCCAGGCTTTACTACATGCCCTGCCTCGATCAGTGAGTACATTGTCAGCTGCTGAGCAACTGACCCACCATGTCCTCTGCATCTTCCTTACAGCACAGATGCCTTTGGTAATTCTTACTACCCAAAGAGGAAAATCAGAGGTTTTATCCAGTAGACTGTAGTTAACACATTGTGGTTGTTGTTATTGTTTTTTTGCTTGTTTGGATTTTTTTTTTTGCCAGTCATGGAGCTTGAACTCAGGGCCTGGGTACTATTCTTGAGCTTCTTTTGCTCAAGGCTAGCTCTCTACCACTTGAGCCACAGTGCCACTTCTGTCTTCTTCTGTTTATGTGGTACTGAGGAATCGAACCTAGGGCTTTGTGCATGCTAGGCAAGCACTCCATCACTAAGCCACCTTCCCACCCTTAAACTTGGTATGTTTAACCAAGCTGGAAGAAGGGAAACATTCAAGTGCTACATGTCTGAGGGTCCTGTCCTTGTCCCTGGCTTGATTCTGGATGCCAGCAGGTGGTCTTGGGCATTCCAGAACTAGTAGTGCCCACCCAAATTGGGGAGAGTTACCTGAGCAGATGACTCCAGCGTCCTCATGGTGACCGCAGTTGTGCTCCAACCAGCCTGAGTGGGCACACTGGCCCAGGAAGCGTTCCATTCCAGCACACTGGAGGTTATCCAGGAAGATGTCTCCAGAGCCTTCGCCGAAGTAGGCTTTCCCAAGAGCGGACAGGGCCCGACCACACCCCAGCTGGTGGCACACAACCTCAGCTTCATTCAGATCCCACAGGTCGTCACACACGGTGCCCCAGGCCCCCTGGTAGAGGACCTCCACACGGCCTGAGCACCGGCTGGAGCCCCCCACCAACCGCAGCTCTGGCCAGTCCCCTGCAGACAGAGACCTGGTGACTTTTGTCATCTGGGAGCATGGTACTCTTCGAGAGCAGGCTAAGCCACACCCTCCTATACTACTATTTGAGAGAGAGAGTAGTACAGTCATTCACAGGTCAACTTCCAGCTGGAATCTGATCATTCATTAGCATTTTCGTTTTTTTGTTTTTTGCCGGTCATGAGGCATGAACTCTGGGTCTGGGCGCTTTCCCTCAGCTCTTCAGCTCAAGACTAGTGCTCTACCACTGGAGCCACAGCGCCACTTCCGGCTTTTTCTGCTTATGTGGTGCTGAGGAATCGAACCCAGGGCCTCATGCTTGCAAGGCGAGCGCTCTACCACTGAGCCACCTTCCCAGCCCCTAGCATTTTCAATAGCAGTTAGCCTACCCACCATCTACCTACTTTGTCAGAGGTTGGTGGCCAACCTGTTTCAACAAATGCAGAGAAAACATAAGTAATTTGCAATGCTTTGTGATGCTTGTAAAGCACTTTCCTATGTATGTGCTGTTGCCTTTAACTTGATGATAACCCAGTGGGATAAACAGCAGAGTACATATTGTGCCAATCTTATCCATAAAGGATCTGAAAGTTGGAGAAGCAAAGTTGATTCACCCCAATTCCCACATCTGGTAACTAGAATATCTATACTTTAGTCCTCAGAGTCCAGAGGTCCTGCATTATTTTTCTTTGTCGGTTTATCCTCTTAAGGATGCTAGCGACAGAAGAATCTAAAATTTTGAATGGCCATAAAGCTTGCATAGATGCAAAGTGAACTGCACAGTTCCAATTTTCTACGTATGGAGCTGGTGCAATTACAGATGCCAAGAGGAAGGGACATTTGATACATGGATGGGTGCATTTCCGGGCTTACTTGGTTTTGTTGTTACAGGCCTGGACGTTGTCGTTGGGATGGCTGTGGAGAGAAAAAAATCTTGCATAAGAATGAAAAGGAGGACTTGTCCTTGGAAGTCTACAAATTTAATGCAATATCCATCAAAACCCTGATGTCATTCCTTATGGAGACAGAAAAAGCAATTTTAACATTGTTGTGGAAATACAAAAGGCCTCAAATAGCCAAAGCAATTCTAGGCACCAAAACCCAACAAAACAAAGAGCAATACTGATAGTATTATAATACTAGATTTCAAATTGTCCTGAAAGCTGTAATAACAACAAAAACAGCTTATTACTGTCACAGAAACAGATCCAGAGTCCATAGAACAGATTAGAAGAACCAGAAATGAACTCATACATCTACAGCCGACTGCTATTTGACAAAGGAACCCCAAATACACATTGGATAAAGGATAGTTTCTGCAACAAATGATTCTGGGAGATCCAAATCTTCACATGTAGAAGATTGAAGCTAGACTCTTATGATCTCTTACCCTGTCCCCATGTCGATGCAAAGTGGATCAAAGACCTTAAGGTAAGACCTGAAACCTTGAAATTACTACACGAAGAAGCAAGGAAAACACTACAGCTTATTGGCAGATGCAGGAACTTCCTTAATAGAATTTCATAGGCTCAGCAAAGAGGAAAATCAACAAATGGGGTTGCATCAAGTTAAAAAACTTCTGTACAGTGAAGGAAATGAACAATATGCTAAAAAGGAAGCAGGCAGTATGGGAGAATATCTTTGCCAACAGTACATTTGATCAGGGTCTAATAAGAAGATTATGTGAGGAGCTTAAAAAGCTGAAATCCTAAAGAAATCAATAACACAACAATAAATGGGCAAAAGAACAAAACAGACACTCGTCAGAAGAAGGTCAAATGGCCAATAAGTAGTTGAAGAAATGCTCAACATCCCTGGCAGCAGGGAAATGGAAATCAAAACAACCTTGAGATTCCATCTCACTCCAGTCAAAATGGCCATCATCAGGAATCTAAACAGCAACAGATGCTGGTGAGGATTCAGAGAAGGAATCCCATTACACTGTTGGTGATGATGTCTATTAGTGCAACCGCTATGGAAATCAGTACAAAGATTCCTCAGTAAACTAAGCATAGAACTACCCTGTGATCCAGCCATACCACTCCTGAACATCTCCGAAAGTTTGAAAGGCAAGATACAATAAAGGCACATCTGTATTCATTGCAACACTATTAACAATAGCCAAACTATGGAGCCAGCCCAGATGCCCTACAATGGATGAATGGATCAATAAAATGTGACATATATCATAGGTATAACTTCATTTTATATACTATGCTGTATAGTATTGTTTATTTTATATTATATCATATATTATGATGATATATAATTATATAATATACTAATATATATGACAATATATTACACAATATATATCTATTTATATCTATATAATGAAATTTTATTCAACCAGCAAGAAGAAAAAATTTATGCCATTTTCAGGAAATGATGGATCTGAAAAAAATACTGATTTGAAGCAAACTAGGCCCAGAAAGACAAAGGCCAAAAATACAACCTCTCAGGAAATATGCCCAGGGGCATATGCATAATACATGACCAAATCATACATGTAGTCACATGTATGTGTGCAGGAATGAAGCTCCACAGTGTCAGCCCTTTGAATAATTAAGAGAGTCTAAAAACATGAGAATCAGAAGGTTGTGCTGTATTTTGAATGGTGGGGTTGTCAGGGGCGATGGGTGGATGAATGGATGAATACAGTCAAAATACTCAATGTACATATATGAAAAAGGAAGTGGTAAACGATTTGACTGGGAGGGAGGGTGGGTGGAAGGAGGGAAGGGACAGCCCTGATCAAGATGTGCTATACTCATAAACGGACATGTTGATAAATGACAAATATGGTAATCCCTTTGTATACCCACGTATAGATAAAGCATATTGAGAATGAGAAAGACGTGGGGACTGGGGCAAGTTGAATGGCAGCTTTCTGAGATATATCTTCATTCAGTGCCCAGGTGTGGGCTGATTCTTTCTCCCCCTTATCCGTGTGGTAAGTAACATCCCAAATCAAGGTTTTGGAGGTGAGTCCTGTTTCTCAGGAATGTGTAGTCCAATGGAAATGCTATTCTACTTTTCTGACCAGTCACTAAAAATACAAGAAGATTTAAATTGTACCAATATGTGTGAAAACGCAAACACTGACAGTCCTGCAGAGGAAAATGGCATCTTTATGCTGGCTTCTGCTTTCTCATTTCCCTACGTGTGTAGTAACTGATGAGGCACATGGAATTATAAAATCAAATAGACAATTGCCAAAAAACCAGAAACCTGACTGTTGGAGGCATGTTGGTTCCAATGTAAATGTGCATTGTACTTGTGCAAAGACTCTGCAAATAGTCTCTCAGTATGGTAGTTGATATAGGGAAAAAGAAGAGCTAAAGCACCAAGAGTGAGGACGGGTGAATGAGGATTAAGTAACAAGGTGAAGGTTGACTCACTGATCAGACTTGGGGTGGAGAACACTGCCCCTGCAAATACAAGGAAACTGCATCAGTGGCTGATAACCATTATGGTGATTTTCCAAATCCACTTGGTGACTCAGAGGCGCCTCTTTTTATAGCATGTGTCCCCAGCTTGCTCTGTGAGTTACCCTGGTGTTCACCAAACACACTGGAGACCATTCTGAAGAGTGTTTCGGATGAATGAAATGGAAGACATCATTAATTCTATAAACTCTGCCTGTACATCATGTTGGTTACTAGTCTAGGGCCCCAAATAAATACTGAAGCTCTTGAGCTCCAGCTTTTCCATCCGCTGAGAGGGAGAACCATTGTGTGAGGATAACATATTCAGGGAACTTACACTGCTGCCTGGCACATAGCAGACATTCAATCCACATCATGTTTTATTTGAGTGTTTGGATCGTGTAACCATTCCTGTTCTTAGGAACTTGATTATACACACTTCAACCATACCTCTACCTCCCATCTCTTGGTTTATACTGTCCTTGACCTTTTGTGCTTTCTCCATTTCTCTACCCACAGCCTACCAGGCCGTAAAGTGATAGCTAAATCAGATTTCTCCTGGTGTTTTTTCTTAGTTCTTGTAATCTGTATTGCTGCCCCTCTTTCCTTCCAATGTCTTTTGCTAAGATGCATTAATAAGCTAATTTAGCAAATGCTGATGTATCCTCTTGTTCTACTGGCTTTTATCAGTCTAGTACATTCTACGTGTCCTCTAGTTGTGCCATATGCATTTTTAGAACTCTCTCTCTGTTTTGCTCAGGCGTCTCTCAACCAGGACCACACATTCTCCTTGTGAGACCCTAAAACACCCTTGGACTAGATTCAAAATAGATCCTGGCAAGCTGATTCCAATGAGTTGTTTATGTAAAACCAAAAAGTCCATGATATAGCTGCCAATTGCCAAGCACATAATAGGATGTACCATCCCCTTGGTAAGTGATTCCTTGTATCACTGAATGGAATCATGACAGCAAGCCTAGGAAATAAGGGTCACCTAAGAGGAACTTGAGGCCAGGAGAGGGTCGAGTCACTTGTTCAAGGTCATAGAGCAAGTGAGGGTAGCTGGAGAACAGTGCAGAGCCGCGGCTCCTCGCCACCCACTTACCTTTGGCTGCAGAATAATAGTAAGCCATAAAAACTTTCCCTATGTTGTTGAAGCTTCGGAAGTACACAAGGGTCATTAAGTTGGAGGAGGATGAGAAGGTGAGGTAGTAGCCAGAGCAGGTCCTCCCCAGGGACTTCGTAGAGGAGGGGGGGCCATCCAGGACTTCAAAGTACTCATTGGTACAGTCGAGGCTGGGAAAGCAAACACCCAACAGGCTTCTTAGTCTCCCCGATGTAAGGGCAAGGAGGTGTGCTGTAAGAACAGTCTATTTCCACACTATAAGAGAATCAACCAGTGGGCTGAGTTTTAAACCACATGGCTTATGTAAGTAATGTAATTCACACTTACTTAAGATGTGGAAATGCCAGCAGTATGTGATCAGATGCATTTGCCTGGATTTCCCACACACAGGTTATGTTGTCATGCATTTCATTTTTGGGGGGATTCCTAATTGCTCCAGATGAATTGGTGATAATTCCTCCACATTGAGGCTTGTCTAAATGCAAAGAATAGTTTAAATTTCAGGTTTTTCTTTGTTCTGGCTACTACTTTTATAATTCACATGTCTTTCCTAAAGATACTTTACTAGTGATCATTCTTTGGGTATTTTTTAGAATCTAGTAGGGATACAAATTAGTTTATAAAGTACTGCAAGTGTGGAATTGTGGTAAGACCATGAATGAAGTTCTTATATCGTTGGAGACTTCTATCATTGGCATGAGCTTGTTAGAAAAGGGCTGGAAACTGAATCTAAGCCAGACCTGTCCCTCTGATTGCTCCCTGGTGAGTAAAATCTTGCTTCAATTTTCCCAGTTAAGTGTTCCCCAGCTGGACCCTCTGCGTACATGATGCTGACACAATATCAGCTGCCATTTTTTAAAACGATGTACTCAAAAACGATCAGATCTATTTCATTGGCTAGTCACCGCTGGACTGGAGGCCCCCTTAAAACCTCCCATCTTAACCACCTCCTCCGCGTCCATTGTGCACTGTCTCTCTGCACACCTCAGAAGGGGCAGAACAAAGGCGCTAGGGAGAGGTCTGAGAAACTGAAGATCGGGTTCCTGTTTGTGCGAGGCACAGGGGAGCACGTGGAGAGGTAGCAAGCAAGGCCGAGACAGATGGTTTCTACGCCTCCAGTTGGACAGCCAGGCCTCACTCAGCCATTCCATTTGCTTGGAGAGTGAGACACATGTACTTACCAGTGGAACAATTTCCACACTCATTCATGTCGCCTCTCCTAACTTGGGGGTCGTCCACGGGATAGTCAGCATCTATGGTGAGAAACGAGAGCAGCCTCGGTGAGTGAGTAACCCAGGCTTTCTCACCAGTGTGTGGAGGGTGCTGCCCCAGAGGAGCAGAAGCTGGGCTCTGCCTGGGATGGGGGCAGGGCTTTACCTGAACAGACCACACTGGCGTCTTCAGCATGATCACAGTTGTGGGAGAACAGCCCAATGTGGGCACATTCCTCCAGGTGCTCCTCGTGTCCCTGGCAGTGCACATTGTCCAGGACGATCTTTCCAGAACCTTCCCCAAAGTGGGCTTCACCAAGGGCAGAAATGGCCGAGCCACACCCCAGCTGCCTGCAGATGACGTGTGCTTGTGGAAGGTCCCAGAGGTCATCACACACGGTCCCCCAGACTCCTTGGTAAAAAAGCTCCACACGACCTGCACAACGTGTGTGGGTGCCCACCAGCCGCACAGGGGCCGGGCCTCCTGGACAAGAGCAAGGGGACCGGTGAGAGGCAGCTTCTCCCTCTGACTGCCGATGCAGACTTTCTGCTCTTTACCCTACTCTTGGTTAGAGTCCTCCCAGTGGAGCTTGCGCCATTCCTCTAGCACATCTGCCCTAAGAAGCCTGTGGTATCTTCCTTGTCCATACACTATTGTGAGATCACTGGCCTATCATGAGCTGATTAGAGAAAGGGCAACCGTTTTCTTCCCTGCCTTTGCTCTTCGCAGTGTGACATTGAAGCCTTCCCACTGAGAGGCTGGGTTTCTTTTCTTACCCATTGATGCAGGGCTGGGGGCCTTTGGATCATGTTGGCTGTGACAATACGGCAGACACACTGTGCAGCTACCCCTTCAGTGAGCATCTGTGAGGCTGCTCAGACTGCAATTCTCTCCCTAGGGCCTCTGACAGCATCACCTGGATGAACTTAAGCTAGTCTACTGGGTGATGGAGGACCTGTCACTCAGGCGACAGCCAGGTGACGGAGGCTGTCCTAGGCCAGACAGTCTTCAGCTGTGCATGTAATATAGACAACTAAAAGTTACTGCACCAATGATGGCACCTTTTGTGAAAGCTCACATTCCCAAGGCAATGGACAAAAGCTAGGACCCGCAGCACCTGCTGGGCACTTCGGCCACAAGGATTCTCTCAATGTCTGGGGCTGTGACAGTTGCATTCTGTTCTTCTTCTGCGATTTATAGCTGCACCACTAGATTAAGGGAACGTAAGATCCTACTTGAGGCTGAATGCCCTAAATATGACCCATTCTAGATCACTCGGACCACTTTTCTCTTCACTGACTATGTGGCTATTGGCCCTAGGGTCTAATCTGACAAGTAGACTAATGTCCCTCACCCTGTAGCCTTTAGGAAGTCTGTCTGTCTGTGTACATTTGCCTATATCCTCACACTTCAGATCTTGGGTTAGACTTTGTTTCTTCTTGACTGATTGGTTGGGTCTGGAAGGACACCCTCTTTTGGACACCCACAGTACCTGCACTCTCCATTCACTGTTCCCCAGGCTGCTGCAAAGCCCCAGTGGACTTAGCTTACACGAAGGTCTGCTTTGTTCACTGCACATCCCAAATAATCCACACTCATTCAGCCATTGTTGTCCAATGAACTAACCATTCCCAAGTTATAATACACAAAGACCCAGCCCTACCTGGCGGTGCAGTAGAAGGTGAGTGTTCAGCCGCTGATAGTGCAGAAGATGTGGGAGACAGGTTCTTTTGGAGTTCTGAAATACAGTCATCAGGGAATTGTCACAACTCATGAGAGAGGAGATAGGGTAGCAGCCAGATGGTGTCTACCTCCTTTTGAGGATTTAGTAGGAAAAATGATGATCCTGAATTCTGAAACTAGTGACCTCATATCCTCAAGATCATTATTTAGAGCAGAACATGATATTATTGCTTGTTGACAAACTGACACACACAAGTTCTCTAAGAAAAACAAAACTCATGGGTAAACGGTTCTCTGTGACTTGCTGTACAAGGCTGCCATCTGCCTTCACATGTCACTATCATGACTTTACCTGGACAAAGTAGAGAAACTCACAAGATGATCCACAGAGAGAAAGAGCCAACTATGAAATGGATGAGGAAACCTTGCCATAATCATGGACATAGCCATACAACTTTGCACAGTTACCAACACCCACCAAACTGTATCTTAATATATGACACAGTTGGGGATCTTAAATCAAGCTTTAATAAAAATAAGATAGATGGATGTGGATTTAGCAATTTAAGTAGAATCTAGATATTGTTATATGTGTCAAACTTGACTGCATTTTGGAATGTTCTCATAGAATGCTGAGGAAATGCTCTATTTAATGTCTATTCTAAGGTCTAGACCTCTATTTTTTGGTTCCAACATATTTCACATCCAATCATTCTAGGTGTCTGTTGTCTTCTTGTTAGCAACAAAACATCAAAAGCATAACATTGTAGAAACATGGGTTCCAGTGAACCTGCTATAATGATGGGAAGATGGAGAGTCAATGTCATTCATCTGGCCCAGGCCATTTGACCAGGAATAGATTCCTGCAGGTTAGGGGCTCTTTTCACCTAACACATCAACCCTGTCAGGTACACATGTGATCAAGAAAAGAAATCATGGCCGGATGAGTGCCTAATAGCATAAAACTGGGGTGGTCACATGTTATATCTGTTTCTTCTGCTAAGGAGTGAACCCCATGGAAAAAAAGACCAAGTGTGTTTTGATTCCTGACAAGTCTTCAGGACTGACAAATCTTCAGTTTGGCATGAGGTAGACAGTCTTTCAGTCTGCAAATCTAGGAGGCCATATCCTGGCAAGCACACAAGACAAGTCTTTCTCTCGTTAGGGTTGATAACTGCATTATTTGAGTTGCGAAAGTGGCACATATTCCTCATAGACAAATTGAATAAAATAAGCAGAAAGAATATAATAAATTCTAATAAGCCTATCCTTCAAACATAACCTCCACAGAAACCATGGTATACAACTTTGTTGACTGGTTTAGGCTTTCACTCATGCAAGTGAAGATGTTCATGAACACAGAGACATACAAAGTAAGTTGCTGGTTTTGTGTACCCAAGAATTAGCTAACTTAATAATGATATATGCATATTGATTTTGAGGAAATCATTTCCTATTTGTCCCATGCCAAAGTGATTCTTGTTATGTCTTAAAAATATGTAGTTTATCTTACCTAGTGGTAGATTTTTTGGAGAATTTGTACCTATATGGGTTGGGAAGATGGTTTCAGCAACATACAGAGAAAGGAAGAGCATATTAGTCTCACCAACCAGGTAGAGTAGTCTCAAATATGCACTGGGTCTAAATCAAGGGGTCCTAAACGCCTCAATTTGTGGAACTTGTTGGAGACACAGACTTTAGGGCCTCTCCTCAGAGTTTCAGATCCAGGATGACTTTAGATCCAAGAGTTTTCTACATCTTAACAAGTACCTGAAAAATCACCCTGTGTGTACTGGAGCCCAGAATTCCCGAGATGTGCTTTGAGGGTTTCATCCCTGCCTTCCTTGGGGTAGGCACTGATGATGCTATATCATATTTAATAAGACCTGGAGGACTGCTTCGACTTTCAAAAAGAGAGGACAGAAAAAATGGTCCTAGTGGGTGACTTAGCCCTGCCTCTACCCTAACCAGCTGCCACTCAGCCCCGGACTAGAGAAGCTGCGGTACCTCTGCGACACTGACTTGCCCTCCTTCTGGCAACTGGATGCCCCATCTTTTCGCTAATTGTCTTTCTGTCTTCCTTTGGTACCCAGAAAGCTCAGTGCCATATGTTGAAGGTCTATGGTAAGAAACTAGATAGTATCCTGACTGTACGTTGATTTAAGAGTGGGTACCAGTGGGAGTGGAGAGAGCAGAAGGAGGCAGTATGGAGGTGTTGAACACCATCGAAATATTCTGTACACATAGGTACAAATATGGAGAACACTGCGGGCACAGTTATACAGTGCACTGCCTTTGAGGAGCTCAGGTGAACAGCTGGCAAGATAAGTGGGCAGAAGAGGAGGAGGTGTTCCTAGGTCCTCAGTCAAGTTCCATAGACATATTCACAATTACTTCATCTGGGCAGCGAAGGGAAGTTAACTCTCCTTGATGGAGATGCGGTTAAAGACCTGCACGTCACAGTCAATGGAGAGAATCTACTCCCATGCATTAGGCCATCTCTAGCGCACATTGTGTATGGGGGCCTGAGAGTGATATTTATGCAGTGGGCTGAGGAATGCCAGTCAGCCCCTAACCTGCACAGATGACTCCGGCATCCTCCAGGTGCCCACAGTTGGGCTCGGCCTGCTCTCCATGCTTGCACTGCCCCAGGTGACTTTCCATGCCCACACACTGCACATCATCCAGCAGGATCTTCCCAGAGCCTGCTCCAAAGTGGGCCCCCCTGGGGGCGGACACAGCCTGGCCACATTGCAGCTGGTGGCACACTACGGTGGCCTCGGTAAGGTCCCAGAGGTCACTGCACACCGTCCCCCACGTGTCCTGGAAGAGGACCTCCACACGACCTGAGCATTTCCCTGTGCCATTCACCAGCCTCACCTCCAGCCAGGCTCCTGGGGACACAGAAGGAGGGGACACTGAGGCCTGGCCTCTGCCTGGCGGCAGAGAGGTTTTCTTCAGTCTCTGGACAAAGAGGGGTTATAGCTTGATGTGACAGAGCTGTTAGCTATTGAGCATCAAGTCTACTTGTCACCAACAAGAAGCAAAGATACTAAATTTCAAAGGGCATTGAGATTTTCTGTGCTGCATTTGGTGAATATTGAAGTGTGTCACAATCTGTTTAGGAAGATTTTTACAATGACAAAACATGCTTTAAAAACAATCACAATTTTTTGTAGGTTTTCTTTTGGTTGCCATCAATATTAGGATCTGTTATTCAAAGAAAACCACTGAATGCCTACTACCTGCAAGGCACTTGGTTTGTTCTCTGGGTAAAAGGAGGTGAATGTTTAAACATCTCCCCCAATCAAGAGGTTTATAAATCAGATGAGCAAGCGCATGGTGAGCAACCTGAGCATAAGAAATGCTCTGGGAATTTTACAGTGGATACTTGGTGTGGACAGCCATGTCACACATGTTGGTCGTGGGGCCTGAACTCTGGGCCTGGACACTATACCTCAAAACTCTTCAGCTCAACGCTGGCGCTCTACCACTTGAGCCACAGTGCCACTTCTGGCTTTTTCCACTTATGTGGTACTGAGGAATCGAACCCAGGGCCTTATGCATGTAAGGCAAGCACTCTACCACTGAGCCAGCCTGTCACCTGCTTCTATAGCAGGGCTTCCTGAAGGAAATTGAGCTCCACTCAACAGGAGTTTCAGAACAAGACCCATGGTTCTTCAGAAGGGTCCAGCTATGACAGGGAAGGCCGTGTGAAGTGGGGAAGGCCGTGTGAAGTGAGACTCACAGCAGAAGTGAGCAGGCTATTTATGTGGAGATGAGCCCTCTGTTTTAGTATACTCAAATGCCTATTTAACCCAAGTTGGAATGTCTTTGGTACCATGCCAATTCTTTCTTAGGTACGTCTCAGAATTCCCCACATAGAGACACTACATCTGGTTAAACTACCAAGCCTCTATTCCAAATATGTTTGTGAATTTTCCATGCTACCTATGCAGTGCAGCACTCACATTGGACTTTTAGGCACTGCCTTTTCTCTTTTCTCTCTCTCTTTTTTAAAATAAATCATGAGGGCTGGGAAGGTGGCTCAGTGGAAGAGAGCTTGCCTCTGGGTTTGATTCCTCAGCACCACATAAACAGAAAAATCTGGAAGTGGTGCTGTGGCTCAAGTGGTAGAGCACTTGCCTTGAGCTGAAGAGCTGAGGAACAGTGCCCAGGCCCAGAGTTCAGGCCCCATGACTGACAAAAAAAATCTTTTGAAACATTAAACAAACTATCTTAGGGTTCTTGAATATGGGATTCGTTTGTGCTAAGTAACTAGGCTCTCAAGCAGTAGTTGGCTAAAATGGTTGGTTGAGTGCGAGGCAGGTAAAAATCCAATTCACTCATTTAACCTTTTTATCTGGGGGAAGAGGAATCTATTGCTTTATGGTTGACCACCCTTTGATCTGTAGAATTATCCTGGATATATAAAAATATTTAATTTGCTTTAGCAGTTGGTCATGCAGGAGGTCTCCTGCTCGGATATAATGAGGATACCTCACTGTGAATGCTACCAACCAGGATTTCCTTGCCTCTCTTTCTTGGATCACGTTTGCTCCCTTCAAGGAAACCTGTGCTTCTGGGGTCCTGACAGAAGGACACAGAAGAAAGAACCTTCCCCGTGTCCTCCTGCCCTTTCTACCATCTTACTCCTTCATCCCTGGGGAATGCACTGCCTTCCCTTCCGGCTTCTAGGTCTGCAACATGAAGCGGAGCTCATAATGACGCTGCCAAAAACTCCTGTGCATCTGTGTGTCTAAAGGGAAAGGCTTACCTCTGCCTACAAAAAGCACCCATTTAGCCATGTGTTTCCTGTTTAACTACTTCCATTGTTTCTAAGACCATGAATCAGTTTGTACTACGAGAATTTTCTGACAATCATCACTGATCAATAACTTGTCTTCTTTTTTTTTTTTACAATGGGGTCTCACTATTGTCCTGTCCCTGCCTCCTGAGTGCTGGGATTAGAGTTGTGTGTCACCATATCCAGCTAAGAAAAGGAATTTTTAAAGAACTCCAAATGATGAAATAAGTGTCTTATTCCTCTTTTATTAACTTTCTGATCCTGCTTAGCTCCGTGCTTCTGGATATCATGAAGGACTGCTAACACACTTTCAGAAAATAACCCTCCTGACCCATAGGACCCAAAAATTTGAACAATCTGGGTGTGTGCGTACCACAGCGGCCTCTTCAGGCTCAGCGGTAGGGATGAGGGCTGGAAAATCATTGGTCTTTAGAAAAATACAGGGACAAAGGGCGAACAAATGCAGCAGTGGTTCTCACTGGACACTATGTTGAAAATGAACTATACAACTTGTGGGCACAGGCAAGAAGGAAAAACTAGGACAAAGCGAAGGAAGAGGTGACATTGTCTAAAAAGAACTGTATTCTTTTCCTTACTTATGTAAGGAAATAATAACAATAAAAAGTTTTATAGAAAAGAATGAAGAAGGAAAAAGAAAAATATAAATTAAAGCCATAAAGAAGCATCACTTTCTCATTAGTAGAGATGTAATAGTGGCTCAAAACTAAAATAGACAATCTTAAGTGTTGACATGGATTCAGAACAACTATGACTCTTATATATTGTCAGTGGGAATGACAAATGGTAAAGACATATCAAAAAATCATTTGCAACTTGTTCATGAATGTCCAGCAGGTTTATTTATTTATTTTTGTCAGACATGAGGCCTGAACTCTGGGCCTGGGCACTGTCCCTCAGCTCTTCAGCTTAAGGCTATCGCTCTTCTATTTGAGCCACAGTACCACCTCTGGCTTTTTCTGCTTATGTGGTGCTAAAGAATTGAACCTAGGACCTTATGCATGCAAGGCAAGCAATCAACCACTGAGTCATCTTCCCAGCCCAGTAGGTTTATTTTTAATAATAAAAGTCAGGAACAAATTCAATGTCCATTAAGTTATAAATGGATAAACAAATGATACATCTGTACAGAGGAGTACTGCTTAGCCATAAAAAGGAATGCATATCTTATGCATGGAATTACATTGTGCTAAGCAAAGGATCTGAATATAAAATGCTATGTACTGATTACATTATGTAACATTCTAGGAAATGCAACTCTAAAGACTGATCCTTGTGGTTCACAAGGACCTAGTGGGTTCCTAGGGAAAGCTGCTTACCTGGGGATCTGAGCTTTGACGAATTGCCTCTGCCGCTGGCAGATAGTGAGTCAGCCATGGGTAGGCCTGGAATGATACAGGAATAGAGGTCAGACCCGGAAGTCTCTTTTCTGAGACTGACCTGGGACACATCTGCAAAGGACTCAATTTGCAGCCGGCCAAGAGCTACCAGCTCAGTCACCCCTAAACCTGAACATCTGGACTGGCCACACAGTCATAATGAACTGCTGGGCCTCTTCTTCTTTCATGTCATCATTGTCATTATTTAACCAAACAGTTTAAATGCACTTCGATACGGAAGTCCTATACAGAAATTCCACAAAGAATGCCAAAACTCTAATTTATGGAGTTGAGTTTTAAAAAGCTGATTAGGGTTATCTGTCCCTCAGTAAAAAGATTTCAGGAGAATACATCTTACAATGCAAACCAAGGACTATTTTTATCCAGTAATTTGTGATTCATTCAAGAGGATTTCACTGTGAGTGCACTGGTGTGGGAAATACTGTGTTTCAGTAAGAAAAGCAGAGAAAAATCTTTTAAACAGATGTTAACTGGCATTTTAACTGTAGTTAGCACTATAGAATTTTATATAGCGCTGGATCACACTTAATTTTTATAGAGTTCTTTTACTGATTCTATTTATTAGGGTTCATTCAATCCTTTATATAGAAGATAAGGTTGAAATTGGGCGGAAGGTACAGAAGATAAGGTTGAAAGTGAGACATATGAGAAGGAAGTGAAGGATTTAGAGCGAGAGAGAGGAGAGAAAAGAAAGACATTTTGGTTCCTGGTCTTACCATACCAGATTATTTTGGGTAGAGATCCTAGAATCTTAGTGCATTAATTCAGCAGGAAAGATCATCTTTTTGAAACATGTTCTGCATTTGTTTTGGGTATTAGAGATTCTAGAAGTATCTATTGGTTCATAAATTTTTCAAAAATATAGCTTTTACTGAACTTAATAGATTTGAAGCACTGCAGATTGCTCTTTTTGAAGGAAAAATTGTTACTAAACATTTTTCTCTCTTTAGCTCACAAATGAAATGAAGAGTTGGATTTGTTGTTGAATAATATGCCTAAAATTGAGCCAAAGGTGCTGACAGATTTATGAGGAGGATGGTGTCAACTTCAGAAGTCTGACAGAACCCTTCTAAGTGCCTTTCTTCCCTTTTAATTCTGAATTAATTCCAGGTTCTGTAGCAGTAAGATGAGTCATCGAAGAATTGGACCAAAAACTGAACAACCCTTCAGTCATAAAGATGCTAATTGTCCTTGATCACTCTGCCAAGGTCATCACACAGCCTAGCGAGTGGTCCAGCTCAGCTCATCCCACCTGACGGAGAGGCTGCATACCCAGGGGGCTAACGGAGAACTCACCAGTCTTGCCTGATAAGACAGTTGGTAACTTTTTGTTCTCTGTTGAAACTAAAATGTAAATAATGTCTGTTAGAAGCATCTGACTTTATTAGTTTGCTAAAAATTTGTTTTGGAATAAGGAGAATAGTGCAAATGGGACACTGGCATCTTCCAGAGTGCTGCTGCGCTGGGGGATCTGCCACCATGACTCCCTGTCTAGAAGGATTATTCCTGGCTATTATAATCTGGATCTGTAATGTCCCCTGAAGGCAGACGGGTCACTGCAGCAGTGTTTGGAGGTGGGCGTTGGGAAACTGATGAGCTCAAGAGGGCTCTGATCTCACGAATGGATTCATCTGAGAGCACTATTGTGTTACTGTGGAAATTTAAGGAAGTCTAGCTGGAGGAGTAGATCTCTGTGATTTTGCCCTGTAAGAGCACCCCGCACCCCCTCTTTGTATGTCCATGCTTCTCTCTTTTTCTTTCTCTGTTTCCTGAGAATCGTGGTGGGAACAGATGGATCCTATCATATATGCTGCCTCACCGAAGCACAGAAACAACAGAGCCCAGTGATTATGGACTAACACTTTTGAAATCATGAACTAAAGTGAGTATGTCCTACTCCTTTGTGTGTGTGGGCTGATGATCCTGGGGCTTGAACTCAGGGCCCGGGCACTGTTCCGGAGCTGATTTTGTTGGGGGTTTTGTTTTGTTTTTTTGTTCTTTTTGCTCAAAGCTAACACTCTATCATTTGAGTCACATCTGTACATCTGGCTTTTTTGGTGGCCAATTGGAGATAAGAGTCTCACAGACTTTCTTGCCTATCTGGCTTCAAACTGCGATCCTTAGATCTCAGCCTCCTAAATAGCTAGGATTACAGGCGTGGGCCATCTGTTCCCAACTGTATTTCCTACTCTTATGTTGCTTTTCTCAGGTAGTGTTTGTCACATCATTAGAAAGCTGATTGACTAATACATTGGCCAAGACTGAAGCTGCACCCCAAGGGGCCAAATGCCCTTTCCACAATGCACTATTTGCATGTCCTTTCATTCATTCAGTGACTATTTGTGCAGTGCCCATGATGTGCCAAGCATGCTGATATATGCCCAGGACATAGTGATGAGCATTGGTGTTAAAGCTGGCAGCACAGGTGACATCGAGCCTTTGCCTTTGGTGTTAAAGCTGGCAGCACAGGTGACATCGAGCCTTTGCCTTTGGTGTTAAAGCTGGCAGCACAGGTGACATCGAGCCTTTGCCTTTGGTGTTAAAGCTGGCAGCACAGGTGACATTGAGCCTTTGCCTTTGGTGTTAAAGCTGGCAGCACAGGTGACATTGAGCCTTTGCCTTTGGTGTTAAAGCTGGCAGCACAGGTGACATTGAGCCTTTGCCTTTGGTGTTAAAGCTGGCAGCACAGGTGACATCGAGCCTTTGCCTTTGCTGTTAAAGCTGGCAGCACAGGTGACATCGAGCCTCACACATTCTCTCTACGTTGCTCAGCAGGGACGTTTCCCCTCTTCCCAAATATCAACTCCTCTTCTCTGTGGAGTTAACATGTGGCCCATGCAATATATCACACCTAGCTTTTGTTTTAACTCAAGGCACATTGACTTACCTGATGCCTTCATTCTGTGGTTAACATCTTCTGAGTTGGTGGAAGTTGAGAGAGCTGATGGAGAAACAACACAAGGAAAGTTACACCTGATTTACTATTGAATAGAAAGAGAAGGACGCTCCTTCTCCTGGAAAACAATTCAAGATGTTCGTACAAGCACGTTTAAAAAGAGACTCTCCAAAGGAACCAGCACTTTTGAAACAGCGTGCCAGATATTGCATATAGTGTGGTGCCATTTTCAATGCAATATCCAGAGTAAGTAAATTCATAGAGACAGATGAGCTGTCTGAAGGAGTGGAAGTCAGAATACAATAGAGGCACCTGTACACATACCAACTCCTTGAAGTAAGTACTTGTGCCATTTCTCAGGTGAGGTAATCAAAGCATAAAGATGTAAAGAAACATAGTTAGGGTCACGGGGTTGAGTTAGTAGAGAATGGGGGTCCAATCCTAGTGTCCAGGAGTCATTCTAAGCATCATATTGCCAAATGAATGGAGTCTTCCACTTAGACTTCCAATCTACTCTTATTTAGTCATTTAGAAATGAGAACCTAGTGTTTAAGTAGGTTTGCGCTCTCTCTCTCTCTCTCTCTCTCTCATGTTGAAAAGTGAACATAAGAATATAAACTGAAAACAGCCAGGAGGTCTTCATTTATCTGATGTTTTCTTGACATTTTTGTTCATTTAACAAGTCTTGAGTACCCAGCCTAGAGGAGTCAAGCAGACATTTTTGGGATTCTGTGTCTTATGAAGTCATCAGGAAAACGAGTGGATTCAGACCTTCTGTCTGAGAGTAGAAAGAGCTGGAAAATGTGGGCAGGTAAAGAACTGCAGCTGCCCCAAAGGCCAAGAGCATTAGGAGTGTTGTGCCTAGGTCACAGGACCCCCACCAAGAAGACCACCGAGAGTCAGGCTTTACAGCTGTTTTAAGGTTTTATTTAGATGGGCTGCAGCTCGGGCCTCGTCCTACACTCCAACACAGAGGAGCCTAGGAAGGGAGCCCCCGAGCTAAGGATTTGCAGGGGTTATTTAGGCACCCAACCAACCAGGTGTTTGGATTACCACCACGTGTTGCTCTGCTAGACAGAATTTGCTGATCTTAGGTTTAGTTTAAACAAGCAACAAGTGGTCACTGTCTCAAAACTTTAACCCTTCATTCCCCCCCTTGATTTTATGGTCCTGAGACACAATCTTGTGGCTCCGGCCCAAAACTAAAGGTAGTAGAGAATGGGGGTCCAATCCTAGTGTCCAGGAGTCATTCTAAGTATCATATTGCCAAATGAGTGGAGTCTTCCACTTAGACTTCCAATCTACTCTTATTTAGTCATTTAGAAATGAGAACCCAGTGTTTAAGTGGGTTTGCGCTCTCTCTCTCTCTCTCTCTCTGTTTGAAAGTGAGCATAAGAATATAAACTGAAAACAGCCAGAAGGTCTTCATTTATTTGAGGTTTTCTTGACATTTTTGTTCACTTAACTAACAAGTCTTGAGTACCCAGCCTAGAGGAGTCAAGCAGACATTTTTGGGATTCTGTGTCTTATAAAGTCATCAGGAAAATGAGTGGATTTCAGACCTGTCCCAGAGGAGAAAGTGCTGGAAAATGTGGGCAGGAAAAGAACTTCAGCTGCCCCGAAGGCCAAGAGCATTAGGAGAAATGCCAAACATTGAAATGCATGGTCAGCTCAGAGATGAACTCATTCTACTCCTAGCTTCTCCTATCTCAAAGGAATCCTCCATTTCTGAATAGGCAGCATGCTCAGTCTTCTTGTAGTTATTAGTAGCTAATAGGATTTTACTGTGGCTTAGAACCATTCAAGATCGCTGGTGTTATCATTCAACTGACCTTGAAGACAATTTTTAACTTATCAGAACCTGTGTTTCCTTATCTGGAAAAGAAATTCTAGGTGCTTCCTCCTCTACATGTTGCGAGACTCAGATAAGAGAAACTACACAAAGCATTGAAATAGCAATTGAAAGGGTATTAGGCAGTGCTGCTTAATGGAAATTAGGCTGGAGCAACAAAGGTAATTTAAGATTCCCTGGTAACTACATTTTAAAAGGGTGAAGAGTAACAGGTGAAATTTATTTTAATGATATGTGTTACCTGTTACACTTGAAATATTATTACTTAATATGTGATCAACATAAAATACCATTGAGCAATTAAAAATCCTTTTTATAGTTCTGTCTTTAAAAAAACCTATTCTAAAACATGAGGTATAGTTGATATACTAAAACATGCACATGTGTAGTGTATGTAACTTGATGCATTTGGACATGTGCATACATCTGTGGTACATAATCAAAAGAATGAATGAATGAATCAAAAGAATGAGTATGTCATCTCTTCTAAACATTGCTTAGCATCCCTTTTATGTAGGTAGTAAGAATAATGAATGAGATATACTTCCCTAGCACTTTTTTTTGAGACACACTTTTACTATATGGCCTAGGCTGGGTTCTTTGCTCAAGTATTTGGTTTACAGGTTTAAGTGGGCCATCATGTTTGACACCAAAATTTTAAAGATTTATTAAAGATGATCATATACCTTGTCAGATTATTCATTACATGATGGTATAGCTAAAATGTCAGTTGTCATAGATGATGGAAGACTGAAGATGACAAGCAGGATGATAAAATGGGAAAGGACCACAATCACAATGGTGGCCACCAGGGATGGTCACTAGGAAGAATCATCCCTCTCCATGTGGCTCACCAGGTAGGAGAAATAACTAAACTCTCACCATGGTGGACAGCTTCCAGACATCAGGCAGTTCTTTCTATACTTTATTTCTTAGGTTTAAAAGATACTAGATGATCCTTTAATAACTTTCCTTTCTCTGACACACATACATGTGCATACACACATGTGCATGCACACACAAACACACATACACAGAACCTCTTTTCTTCTTATTCTTTGCATTTCTAAAAGGATATAACATGAGAAGTCTTGAATTACCATTATTTTTGTGTGTGTGAAATCACAGAGTCAATGTTGATGTTGGGGTTGACCATCCAAGGTCCATTTTCTTCCCTCCAATTAACCCTAAATTAAGCATTATTGGTACTCAGTGAAGATGGCAATGAGCTCAGGAGTCGAGGTGCTTGGGTCTTACCTGAATGTACAGCAGTTAAGGGAGATAGCCGAGTTGAGACAGCAGCAGGGAGAACTGCAATAAAGAAACACCTGTTAGGGGCTGGGAAGGTGGCTCAGTGGTAGAGCGCTTGCCTTGCATGCATGAGGCCCTGGGTTCGATTTCTCGGCACCACAGAAGCAAAAAGAAAAAAGCCGGAAGTGGCGCTGTGGCTCAAGTGGTAGAGCGCTAGCCTTGAGCTGAAGAGCTGAGGGACAGCGCCCAAGCCCAGAGTTCAGGCCCTACGATCGGACCCCCTCCCCACCCCCCCTCCCCCCAAAAAGAAACACCTGTTAATGGTCTACAACTTCTCAAAGCACTCCATGGTGCATGGCCACCTAAGGGCACCCTGAGCTTTTGCAAGATACAATTTTGTCGTAATTCCAAAGCAACCACTACATACGTAAGTGTTACCCCATCTCTTAGTCACCGATATTCATTTCCAATGAACTCGATGTTCCCTATTTTTGTCTTTGCCAGACTCAAAGTCCATGTACAGGTATTTGGTGTTTTGTGGTGTGAGTTGTGTGCTTTAGATCTTAATATTCTCCCTGAGAGCTGGCCCAGTGACCTGGACATTCATTTGTTATGCTTATTTTAGTCCTCTGCTTGTTTTATTACCTCTCTTTCTATGGTAGGCACTTCCTATTTGGAGGTGTGGCACTGGTAGACGTTACAGTAGTTAGATGGGGAGTCCTTTGGTCAGCTTTTACCATTAACGTGGCACGTGCGGCCTTTCTTCTAGCTCACCTTCCTTCTCTCAACTTGCTATTTAGGTATCCTATGTCAGTGTGTGTCTTGAGAGTGGTGTCCATTCTGAGCTTCTGACAGTACCACATATGCAACTGCAGTGGCAGAATACTGTCTTGTTCCTCAAAGATATCAAGCTCTAAGCTTCTGGCTCTGAAGTCAGAGGGTATGGGCCAGGAATGCAAACCACCTCAAAATACTGACAAGGCAAAGAAACAGAGCCTTCCTTTCCTTTATTTTTTTTTAAATTGTAAAGGTGATGTACAGAGGGGTAACAGCTATATAAGTCAGGCAATGAGTACATTTCTTTTTGGACAGAGTCACCCCCCCCCTCATTTTCTTCAGTTTTTCCCCTGGGTCACCAGTGTCTCGTGGGGATCACTGCTGAATTAGTTCACCACTGTTTCTGTGCTTCCACTCCTTCCCCTCCTCAAACCGGATAAACTTACATACCAGACAAAGAATACAGAAATCAAAAACAGTGACAAAAGGGATAAAACGCAAGAAAAATGGAAAAGAAAAAAGAATACCACAAACAGCACAATTAAAAGAAAAACCTCTTGTTTCAATTTCTTGGAGTTCATTCCAATAAGCATCATTTTATATAATCACACACATATAGCTATTGAGCCTTTGTGAGCCTCTCCTAAGAATATCCTCCTTTGGTCTCACCATGTAAATGTTTAGAGTCCTGCTTAATTAATCATGTCCAAGAGTAAATTTTTGTCTTTTACTATCCATTGGGTTTACTTGTAGATATATAGACATGTTCTAATTATTACAAATGAGGGAAATCATGCAACCTCTGTTTCATTGGGTCTGGCTTACTTCACTTCATATAATTTTTTCCAAGTCATTCCATTTCCTTAAAAATGGCAGAGCCTTCTTTCCTAGAGCTGCCAGAATGAAGGTAGCCTGACGCACACCTTGCTGTTATCTAAGTGAGACCCACTTTGGACTTCTGACCTTCAGAACTGTGAGGAAATAAATCTATGTTGTTTAAGCCATGGGGTTATGTTGTTTGTAATAGCATCAATGGAAACTCATAACAATACTATATGTGAGTGAATGACTCTTCCTCCAAAGAAAATTCAAAACATGTTATTTACAAAATTGACAGTTTGAATATTTTCAAAGCTGAGCAAATGAAAGCCTAAGGACAACTATGAAAGTCACATTCAAAATATTATCTTTCAATGAAAGTCTCCTCCTCCTCTTCCATTTCTTCTTCTATTTCTTCTACTTCTTTTTGTTCTTGTTCTCCTATCCTTTTTCTATTTCTCCTCCTCCTCCTTCTCTTTCTTTTCCTCCTCCTCCTCCTTTTCCCCTTCCTCCTCTTCTTCTATTTCTTCTTGTTATTGTTCTCCTATCCTTCTTTTATTTTTTTCTCCACCGCCTATTCTTCCATTTCTTCTATTTCTTCTTGTTCTTATATCCTTCTTCTATTTCTCCTCCTCCTCCTCTTCTCCTCCTACACTTCCTCCTCCTCCTCTTCTTCTTCTTCCTCTTTTTCCTCTTCCTCCTCTTCTTCTTACTTCTCCTCCTCTTCTTCCATTTCTTCTTGTTCTTGTATCCTCCTCCTCCTCTTCCTCCTCCTCCTCCTCTTCCTCCTCCTCCTCCTCCTTTTCCTCCTCCTCCTCTTCCTCCTCCTCCTTTTCCTCCTCCTCCTCCTCTTCATTCTTCTTCTCCTTTTCCTCCTCCTTCTCCTTCTCTCTTTTAAGCCAATAGTTCATCTATTGTAGCAAGACCCTAGGAATCATTTCCATATAAATTCACTTATTATAGATAGGTTATGAAGCCACCTGGAGAGCTAACTAAGCATGTACTGTCATTTACTTCTCTCCTGAATTTGGATAGGTAAGAGAATATAACCCTGCATACCACTGGCCCAGGAAAAGAACAGGATTAAAATACAAACTATGGTTCCTATCACTTTCTTGTGACCATAATATCTGAAAGTCATGTCATATCTAGGAGGAGATAACAAAAAGTTTTTTCTTACCTGATAATATGGTTACTGAGCTTCCATCACCTATTGATACAAATAAATTGAAATATTTATTATTCAATTACAATCAATAACCTTTAAATAACCTACTTAATACTTTTCAAAAAACGAATATGACAGGTTTTAATTACAAAAAGTGAAATAAATCCCTGGTAAAACACAGCCCTTAGGACTTAACAGGCTTTCATGACTTGATTGTTCTGAAGACACTGTAGGTAATACTGGCTTTTTGGAATGCCACATAATGACAGCAAGCCAGTCACTAGAGGAATTTGAGGCCATCTTCTTGCTTTAGATGGTCCATTTATAACTAAGCCCAACTATGTACAGAATATATAATCTATTCTCCCTTCCAAATTTAACCCAGTAATTAGAATGAAAAACAAGATTGTCTTAAAACTAAAAGGAATATTTGTACCCAATAAGGACCTTGAACTTCAGCAAGAAATCACTTCCTACCTTGATGCATTGGCAGTGATTCTTCAGCATTCTCTGCCAGGAGAGGGGCTGAGAGTTCGGTGGCTGTTGGGACATACAAGAGTGGATGGCAGTCAGGTCCTAGCCCTTTCCCCGCTGACCGGAGTCCCGCAGAGTGCAGAAGGACATTGACTAAACAGCCATATGAGCAATAGAAACTATTTGCCAACATTTTTCCTCCACCACAGAGAGGTAGGAATTATGCTTTTAATAACAATTTCACTGGGAAAAGTGAAAATAACAACATCAGAGGATAACCAAGATGCTTATGATTAAAATTAAAATGAAGCTAATTATTTAGAAAGAAGAAACTGACCCTACAGCATTTTGAACCTAATGGCCCGTTTATCTTAATGGCCCAGTAATGTAGAAATGGCAAATGATGACTGTTGAAATATGACAACCAAATACCTTCCAACACTATTCCTCCATTATCTTCACACAATTTGCGCTGGAATGGAAAATGTCCTCCATAAAACAAAAACATGAACTTACCTGATATAGGCTTTGAGTGGTCACTCTCTGTAAACAAGGAGGAAAAGAAAAGATCTGTTTAAGAAAAGCGTAGTTAGTGTTGCTAGAGACTCTCCTGTCACAAGGGAATTTTAAGGTGACAAAATATATCTCTCGGAAATTAAAAAAATATTGACTCTTCTAGGCTTAGTTTACATGACTTCACTTGACCACCAAATGTCTAAGTACTCATTAGCACAGTGTGTCTAATGACCCATGTTGGATCCAATTGTGACTGTGCTATCTCCAATGGACTAACTCTGTAACACTCTCAAATAGGAGGCAAATAACTCTTTTTACTTACAGAACAGTTTAGTGGACCTTAGAAGCTTTATAGAGCACATGTGTTTTGATGGAATTTTAATCAGGAGAGGGATAATAAAATGAAAAATCATTCAACAATAGCACAAATAGATAGGCAGATAGACAGAAATACATACATACCCTCAATTAAACTTCAATAGATGTAAGAATCTAATTCATCACTTTAATATTATGTAGGTCTTTCTGGTTGAATGTAACTAGAAAATTTGATGAGTGACCAAGTTCATTGCTCTAGATACACCCCTGCCACACGCGTGTGCGCTCACACACACACACACACACACACACACTGCACATTGCATACACATTTGCTTTTAGCATTGATAGTATGCAGAAAATTAATTGCAAGCATGGTGGACATTTGTTCATATTTCTGGACCAGTGGTTCCTAGTTGGCAGCAATTTGCTCCCTAAGGAGACATGTTGGGAGACATGGTAGGATGTCACAACTGGTGGACAGGTACTATGTGACAGTAGCAGAGGTCAAAGACGCTGCCACGTGCGGGACAGCCCACCCACCACGAGGCATCGTCGAGCTTCAAATATCCAGAGCCAGGGTGCAGGTTGATCATAGCCATACCATTTTGTCAAGGACTTGTGATCCAGAATTCCCGGCCTGAAATCAGTCAGCAGGACAAGCTAGGACTGTGCTAACCTGGTCCTTTGCCCACCTTCCCTAGACTGCAAACCCAAACGCTTTACATCATCACCCCCCACGGGCGCCCCGAACGCTTCGCCTCACTAGGGACTGGGGTCGCCTCTCCAGGAGACGTGTCCGACAGTCTGGTCCTGCCGTTTCTCTCTCTGTCAAATCCATGTCACGACTTTGGCCCCCACATTTCTGAGCCCCAGCCGAGGTCCTCCAACCGGCCGATGGGCCAAGCCGGAGGCGGCCCTGGCCTCACAGCAGGCCGGCCTGGCCCGCGATCACGCAGGCCGCGCGGATGTGCTTGGCCGGGGAAGGGGGGCGGCGCATGACCTCAGCCCTGACCTGGGGGCCTCCCCTGCGCCGAGGACGCCCTGCGTCTTGGCCGGGGCCGCAGGCATGCACGTGCCCGCATGCGCACACTGTCCCATGACCTCAGCCCTGATCTGGCTGTCGGCTCATCACCTCGCGCCGCGCTGGTCCCACTGGGGGTGGCACACCCGCCCCACCGGCCAAGCCAGAAGCCTCGCACTCGCCCGAGCACCTGCCCGAGCAGCCGCCCGACCTGAGCACCTGCCCGAGCAGCCGCCCGACCTGAGCGCCCGCCCGACCTGAGCAGCCGCCCGACCTGAGCACCTGCCCGACCTGAGCAGCCGCCCGACCTGAGCACCTGCCCGACCTGAGCAGCCGCCCGACCTGAGCACCTGCCCAACCTGAGCACCTGCCCGACCTGAGCAGCCGCCCGACCTGAGCGCCTGCCCGACCTGAGCACCTGCCCAACCTGAGCGCCTGCCCACCCTGAGCAGCTGCCCGACCTGAGCAGCCGCCCGACCTGAGCACCTGCCCGACCTGAGCAGCCGCCCGACCTGAGCGCCTGCCCACCCTGAGCACCTGCCCGACCTGAGCAGCCGCCCGACCTGAGCAGCCGCCCGACCTGAGCACCTGCCCGACCTGAGCAGCCGCCCGACCTGAGCGCCTGCCCACCCTGAGCACCTGCCCGACCTGAGCAGCCGCCTGACCTGAGCGCCCGCCCGACCTGAGCAGCCGCCCGACCTGAGCAGCCGCCTGACCTGAGCGCCCGCCCGACCTGAGCAGCCGCCCGACCTGAGCGCCCGCCCGACCTGAGCAGCCGCCCGACCTGAGCAGCCGCCCGACCTGAGCGCCTGCCCGACCTGAGCAGCCGCCCGACCTGAGCAGCCGCCCGACCTGAGCACCTGCCCGACCTGAGCAGCCCGCCCGACCTGAGCACCTGCCCGACCTGAGCAGCCGCCCGACCTGAGCACCTGCCCGACCTGAGCAGCCGCCCGACCTGAGCGCCTGCCTACCCTGAGCAGCCGCCCGACCTGAGCACCTGCCCGACCTGAGCAGCCGCCCGACCTGAGCAGCCGCCCGACCTGAGCGCCCGCCTGACCTGAGCAGCCGCCCGACCTGAGCAGCCCGCCCGACCTGAGCAGCCGCCCGACCTGAGCAGCCGCCCGACCTGAGCGCCTGCCCGACCTGAGCAGCCGCCCGACCTGAGCACCTGCCCAACCTGAGCACCTGCCCGACCTGAGCAGCCGCCCGACCTGAGCAGCCGCCCGACCTGAGCAGCCGCCCGACCTGTTCGCAGCGGTGGCGGGTCGGGAAGGGCGTGGATGATGTGCGGGAGGAGCGGATGCGCATCCACCTCGGTGTGCTCGCGCGGACGGCCACACACGCGCGGTCACACACGCGTGGACGGCCACACACGCGAGGACGGTCACACACGCGCGGACGGCCACACACGCGCGGACGGCCACACATGCGCAGGGCCACACATGCGCAGGGCCACACACGCGCAGACGGCCACACACGCGCGGACGGCCACACATGCGCAGGGCCACACACGCGCAGACGGCCACACACGCGCGGACGGCCACACATGCGCAGGGCCACACACGCGCAGACGGCCACACACGCGCGGACGGCCACACATGCGCAGGGCCACACACGCGCGGACGGTCACACACGCGCAGGGCCACACACGCGCGGACGGCCACACACACGCAGGGCCACACATGCGCAGGGCCACACACGCGCGGACGGCCACACACGCGCAGGGCCACACACGCGCGGACGGTCACACACGCGCGGACGGTTACACACGCGCGGATGGCCACACACGCGAGGACGGTCACACACGCGCGGACGGTCACACACGCGCGGACGGTCACACACGCGCGGACGGTCACACACGCGAGGACGGTCACACACGCGAGGACAGCCACACACGCTCGGCGGTCACACACGCGAGGACGGTCACACACGCGCGGACGGCCACACACGCGAGGACGGTCACACACGCGAGGACGGTCACACAGGCGCGGACGGTCACACGCGCGGACGGTCACACACGCGCGGACGGCCACACACGCGAGGACGGTCACACACGCGAGGACGGCCACACACGCGCGGACGGTCACACACGCGCGGACGGTCACACACGCGAGGACGGTCACACACGCGAGGATGGTCACACGCGCAGACGGGCACACACGCGCAGACGGGCACACACGCGCGGACGGTCACACATGCGTGGACGGTCACACACGCGTGAACGGCCACACATGCGCAGGGCCACACACGCGAGGACGGTCACACACCCTCAGGGCCGCACACCCGCAGGGTTGCACGCATGGACGGTCGCGCACCCACAGGGCCGCACACCCGCAGGGTCACACACGCAGACGGTCACACACCCGCAGGCTTGTACGCATGGACGGTCGCACACCCATAGGGTTGCACGCGTGGACGGTCGCACACCCACAGGGTTGCACACATGGATGGTCGCACACCCACAGGGCCGCACACCCGCAGGGCCGCACACCCGCAGGGTTGCACACATGGACGGTCGCACACCCACAGGGCAGCACATCCGCAGAGTCACACACGCAGGGTCGCACACCCGCAGGGTTGCACGCATGGACGGTCGCACACCCGCAGGGGCGCACACCCGCAGGGTTGCACACATGGACGGTCGCACACCCACAGGGCAGCACATCCGCAGAGTCACACACGCAGGGTCGCACACCCGCAGGGTTGCACGCATGGACGGTCGCACACCCGCAGGGGCGCACACCCGCAGGGTTGCACACATGGACGGTCGCACACCCACAGGGCAGCACACCTGCAGAGTCACACACGCAGGGTCGCACACCCGCAGGGTTGCATGCATAGACGGTCGCACACCCGCAGGGTTGCATGCGTGGACGGTCACACACCCGCAGGGCCGCACACCCGCAGGGTTGCACACCCGCAGGGTTGCATGCATAGACGGTCGCACACCCGCAGGGCCACACACCCGCAGACGGTCACACACCCGCAGGGTTGCATGCGTGGACGGTCGCACACCCGCAGGGCCGCACTCCCGCATGGACGGCTCCGGGGACCGATTGCGAGAGAGACCCGCCCTCGCTGGCCCGCAAATTAGAATCCAGCTTCAGAGTCCGGAGGGGTCGGGTCAGCCTAGAGTCAAGGGGGATTCGGGGCTGGGCCAGGGGCCAAGGAACAAAGGCGGGCGAGGGGGGGGGGGCGTTCACGATGTCTTGAGAGGAAAATCGTGCTGGGAATGCTCCCCCCCCCCCCCCCCAGGCCTACTGTGTGACTTTGGCCAAGGCGCTTGACCTTGACTAACTTTGGCTCTGAACCTCAGTGTCCTTATTTGCAAAACAGGGATCACGAAGCAAGCCCCTGGCAACAAGCGTTGCCAGGATGGATGGAAAGCACAGTGCGACCAGATGGGATTCCGCACTGAGGTCATCTCTTAGACAAAACCACTCAGCGATTTTTATACCCCTGGCTTGGAATAAACGACAGGCAATGATCCCAATGAGAATTCAGTAAATCAGCCAAAATAGCATAGTTACAAGAAATTATACACCCCTGCAGATACAACAGGATAAATGAGATCAACTTCCATAGAAGATGAGACTCCCAAGAAATTACTGAGAAAAGCTGGATGGGGCTAATCCTTGGTGAAGGAGCTAGGGACAACTCTGCTTCCATTATCAAAACAATTAATAATCAACATGTTATTAATTAATAAGTCAACATCGTAATGAATACATCCAACCGCACATGCTTGATTCTAAAGCAGAATTTTTCAACCACAGCACTGTTGAACTTAGGGCTGGAATACTGTGTTGGGGAGGGTATTTAGTAGTGCTCGTAGCCTACCCACAGATGCTAGTAACACCCTCCATTATGACAATCAAAACTGTCTTCATACATTGCCAAATGTCTGCTGGTTGGGAGACAGGGGAAATTGCCATGCAAGAAAGTCTTTTAAAAGTGCTTTTAAATCTCCTAAAGCAAAATTTATCTTCACAGGAATTTGCTAACTGGTCTATCCTCAGTTCCTCCCTCTCGTCCTCCTCCCTCTGTCTAGGGCGTCTGAGATAATCATGTGCTGAATAAGAGAGGCAAGAGCCTCCTCCCCACCTAGGCTGCTCACAACTTCCGGATGAGGTGAAGGCAAATTCTGCTCGGTGCCGCCAGGGCTTTGGTCTATCTTAAGGCAGGACTCGGAGGTCAGGGAGGCTGGAGGAAGGCTGTCCCTCATAGGTTGGTAAAGACCATGGGGATGGTGATTTTACAAGACAGAGCTTTCTCTTCCACACCTTTACCCCAAGATGTTACCCACTTCCCACCTCCTTCCTTCTGCCATGTCTGACTGGGACTCACCTTCCTGCTGCTCCACAGGCGTGCCTTCGGGGGGGCTTCTCCTGGTGCGTCCCTTCCCCAGCCTTCCTCCAGATCCTCTGACATCTCTTCTGTAGCCAACTGAGGTACATCAGCCACGTTAGCGTCTCACCAGGGAACTGAACGCCGCGGGCCCCCAACAGCTCCAGATCTACTGGAATCTGATTTTTTTAATTCACAGTAGAGATCCGATGGTGGCACCAAGCGTGGGAAGCCATGTTCCGGATCAGCTCTTGCGGGGGGGGGGGGGGGGGGGGAGGGCAGGCGTGGGATTGCATGGGATCCTTTCATCAGCTTTGTGTTTCTACCGTTCTTCCAACTTTTTGCCAGTCTCTCCGTTTCGTTGGGAGTCTCTAGTTATCTACAGTTGACCTTGAAGCATTTTGAGTAAGATACAGCTTGTATATACGTATGACCAATCTGATTTAAGCACTGCATATACATGTACCATGGTGAGGCGCCTTTGAATAATGAACATGCACTTCCACAAAAATGAATAGCAGGAAGGCAAAACGTGTCCTGTCTGGGGCGTGGGTACTAGTGGGGAAGAAGAACAAAGAGGCTGGAGAAGGATGAGTCCATATTAAGGAGGCAAACTGCTCAAGACACTACAGTGCAAGTTATTCAGAATGGGACCTGTGGCTTGCCACTGCCCTACAAAGGGCTCATTGCTGTCCTGCCTGCTGATGGGCCAGCCCAGGGCCAGGGTCCTGGGGTGCCACCACACAGACGTCAGTCTGGCCCTGAAACAGTGAAGGGCAGCATGGAGCAGTGGAACTTCCCAGCAAGCATTCAGGAAGAGTGATGATGTCACGTCATTGTTTCACCCCAAGACTGAGCCTCATGTGGACCCTGCTCACTGACTGCCTCACCCGGGATCCCAGAAAGCAACCCGTGGGGGATGGGCCAGAGAAGGGGGAGAGGACCACCGTATGCTTCAAATACATTTCCTCAGCTTCCACAGTCGGTGAATGGCTTACTGATTGAAAACATGAAGTGTGAGAAGTGAAATACTAAGGAAAAACTGGATCAGAAGGAACAGGTGGTGAAGGGCTTCTAATGCCTGACCAGGGGTCTTAGATCTTCATTCCATAAGAAAAATAGAGCTAGTGGGCATTTTTGCAGAAAGGAATGAAATAATCAGGGTTTGAAGTTTTGCAGAAGGAGTAAAATAATCAGGGTTTGAAGTTTTGCAGAGAGGAGTGAAATAATCAGGTTTTGCACCATGAGCCATGAGGAAGGTGAGCCCCAGTGAATGTGCAGAATGGACTCCTAGGTAGAAGAGGCTAGAGGTGGGCGAGGAAAGGAAAACACTGGGGACAGAGCCAAGAGGTGGCAATGGGAAAAGACCGAGGAAGGGAGTGGCAGATAACAATGCTAAGACTGGCCAGCTAAGAGGAAGGAGAGGAAGGACTCAGAACAATGACAGGACCAGGAAAGGCGAGCCTGTGGGTCAGTGAAGTCAGTGTTAGAGACCATGCTCTTGATGGTGTCTATGATCTGACAGAATTGTTCAGTCAGGAAGCAGATGAGATCATTGAGGGGAACGTGCATAGAGCGTCTGCAGACTTCAGATGGGAAGAAGGAAGATGGGCTGGTGAAGGTAAGACAGGAAGCCAGGAATAAAAGCAAAAGGCTGAGCCACACACACAGACAAGGGGAATGATGGGTCCGGCCACAGGGACTCTCAGACGGAGGCCACTGGCTTGGCAGTTACAGACCAGTGGACGTCTCTGCTTAGTAGAGAGGAGCTGGAGTGGAGACAAGTGAAGGGGGCTGGGGCACCGTGGCTACGAAGTCAGAATCTGCCTCTGGAGAAAGAAAGAAAGGTTTCCATAAAGAACGGTAGCAGGCAGGAGTAAACCCGACCTCCAGCCTTTCTGTGTCGTTGTGTTGTGTTTTGCTCTGTTTTCTGGTCAGGTCTTGCTATGTAGCCCAGGCTGGCCTCCAGTTCACAATCCTCCTATCTCAGTCTCTTGAATGCTGAGATAAAAGACCAACACCCCCATGTCTGCTTTTGGCCTTTTTTTTTTTTTTGAGGGAGTGTGGGGATTAGACCCAAGATCATATGAGTATGAGTGTGAATGTGTGAATAAACGAGAGGTGTGTGGGCCGGAGTGTGACAAGTGTGAGTAGAAGGTGGTCCTCAGAGCTCTCAGGAGAGCAAGGTGGTGTGCCACCTGTTGGGGTCTGACAGGAGGTACATGGCATGGCAGGGTAGCTGTGGACATCAACAGTCACCACCTGGCCAGGGTTCCACAGTGAAGAACAGAGAGGGCAAACTGGGCCCGTGGGAGAGTGGGAAGGAGGGACCTGTGCTCCCCCAGACAGAGCCTGAGAGCAGCATAGCAGCCCACATAAGGGACTGTAGAGACTATTTAACAGCTTAATTTGGATTATGTTAACCAGACAGATGCTACTCCAGGGAATGATGAATATCCCTCTTTCTTGGGTTGCCCTTCAGCCTCACTGTGCAGATGAAGTGCTCTACTATTGAGTGAGCTCTCGTGGTTGCAAGTGCCCCGCATCCTTTCCAGTGGCATGTGACCGGCAGAGGGTTGGTGTGTTCCTGGAAGATCATACTGGGGCCTGTTGTTCCTGAGCCTCTTGTACAATCAGCAGGAGCCTAACAAAGCCTATTGGGTTATCTCATGTCACTAATCCTGAACTCCCGGAAGCTCAAGAACACTTCCCTACACATGCGTGTGTGTGTGTGTACACACACACACACTGGAAAACTGCAGGAGGGTAGCAGACACATCCTGGGGGAGAATATGAGAACAGGTGTGGCCAAAGGTCACAACAGTGGCAGGGACAGAGGAGAACTCTGGGAGCCAGGAAGAAAAATAGCCCCATTGATACCTGAGCCTTATAAATGGTGGTGACTTCCAAGATCAGTTGAGCCTCTCAAATATCCTGAGATTTGCAGTAACTCAGGGAAAACAATCTCATAATCCTCTTATTTTTATTTTGGGAGGGTCTTCTGGGCAGAGATTAGTCAAGAATGCAGTGTTTTTATTCACTGTTGCTCCATTCCCTGACTTGGCCTGTCTATGCAGGTCTCTTATTTTGCTGAGTGTTCCAAGACATGGGGCACAGCAGGGGCGTGCATCCCCAGCATGGTGAACAGCTCTGCTATTTGGTAAGAAGCTGGCAGATTTTAAGGGAAGCAGAATAAGACCAACAAGAGAATGGAGTGTTGTAACTGGGTTATGAATGAATCCTACTCAATCAGCCCTCACGTGGGCTGATTGCCCCATTCGAGGTAGGAGTGAGACTCAGGAGGGTTGGGACCAGGATTGAGGCTTACCCTTGATCTGAGAGACTCACCCAGTTGTCCCCAGTACATTATTGTGTAGCTGTTTGGTTATAAACTTCAGAAAATCATCAGAGGACCCCCCCGCCCCACCTCGGCCCTCCCAGCCTGGCCTCCCAGCCGGGCCTCCCAGCTACCAGAAGTTATTAAACTCATCTGAGACTGGGATTTCTCTCTTTACTTCTCACTCCAACATCTTTCTTCAATCCTGTGGGCACTTTGGGCCCTAAGCCATTTTCACTTCCCAAGGACTAGGGGTAGGGAGAGGGGAGGGGAAGGCAGAGGTCATGTGACTCCCGGATTGGCCCATGGTGGCTCTGCCATATCTACAGCCATGCCCTCAAAGGCCGCACAGGACCTCATCAAACTCCGCCTCATTTTTTTTTCTCTACAGTGAAACAAATATGATGGATTCGAACTCTGAATTCTCTCCGAGATTTCCAAACATTGTCATGCATCAGAATGCTCGATAGGGAATGTACTCATTACCTTGCTCATGTAACTGTACCCCTCTGTACAGTATTTTTACAATAAAAAATGTACGATAAAAGAAACCTCCACCAGTTTCCGTATGTGGTTGGTACGGTTTAGAGAATTGATTTGCATCGTATGGAGGAACTGGGAGAAAAACAAAGTCCTTTCCTGTTGGTTTTTTTTTTTTAGTTGGCTCTATTGAAAGTTACATTGAAATATTGAAAGGGAAAACAGCTTGGTTTCTTGGAGAGTAGAGATCCAATGGAAAATGTTATGTTCTAAATCCAAGAACTATGTTTTTATTACTTCCTATTTTATGACATATTTAGTCATTTATAGCATCTACTGTTGTATTTGATAGTGACCTTACATTTTCTATGCCTGAAGCACTCTCCCAAGTGTTTTACTAATATTAATTCATTAAAGCTCCTTTAATAATCCTATGCATTATACTCTTTTTACATGAGAGTTTATTGAAGCATGGAGGTCAAAAATGTATCTAAGTTCATGGAGTCAGAAAGGGCCCAGTCCAGTTGATTTGTTCAGTTCTTGTGGCCCCAAAGCCCACTTTCCCAGACGTGATCCTCACACAGGTGAGAAACACAACCCAGAAGGATTCAAGAAATCATTAAATCCTTAATATCCTAGTATATTTTGATAACTACGCTTGAAGATTGGACATCAATGTATCTGTACATTTTCTTGCAGAATTAAAAAAAAGAATCTGAGAATAAACTTTACACTCAACCATAATTCTGTGGATAGTGAGCTATGCCTCTTTTGCAGTTAGTAAGAATAATATTCAGGGTGTTTGTTGGCCAAATGTTTTTCAAACTTTTTATTTGATAAAAAAGGAAAAAAAATAACTAATTGATAATCTCACTATTTTTACCCAAAGCCACAAAATAATAACATAAATGAAATTATGTAGCTGTTTTAAATTAGCTTGGGTCCAAAGTACAGTAAAACTTTCTTAAGAGAACTAGATGTGGGATGTACATTAAAACCAAGAGTATGAAAAAGACCAATTTGTTTTTATAGACAGGTATATATTTTCAGATTAGACAGCTGCATAAATCAAGTCGAGATAATTTTATGGCATGCCAAAGTTTTTAAGCTAAGAATATTTTACAGTACATTCTCGAGCTCCATTTAGCAGCAATAAAGAACCCATGTCTGTAATTCAACACCCTCAGTACAGAATACCAAACTATAACGCATAAGCCAAATAATAGTTTAAAATCCTCATTAGATTATTTACAGCCGGGCATTCCATTGTTGTCCATTTCTATCCAATAGCCTACAAAAGGAGCTATAAATTGGTTAGTGCTTTGTTTACTGAAAACAAATCTTACAGAAAATACTTGATCCGACTTTCCTAAAATTGATTGTGATGATGCATGGTTGGTTACCACAGCAATGTCTCATCAGAGAATTTAAAGGATCCCTCTGTCCAGATCGAATTTTAAGCCAATGAGTGGGTGAAGAAGATTCAGATAACCCCACTTTCCCTTTCCAGGTTGTAACAAGGCATGCACAAAACAGCCCTGGAACACTGGCTGCCTACCTGCTTCAGGAAGCACCACAGCTTGGAAGAGCAGTAGCCAGAGGAGGTGGGCATGGCTGCCCATGTTGGGAGGCCTTCCTGCTGCTTGCCAGCTTGGGGTTCCAGCTTTATACACTCTCTAGGCTCCCCGGTGGGGGTGGCTCTGGAAACCTGATGCTCTGCCCTGGCTTGGATTGGCAGGCGTCCAGAGCAGGGGACAACCGATTTCTTTGGACATTTTTGTGCATATTTGCCATGGGGAGACAGAGTGATTTCACCTGTAATAGGTGAACCTGTTGGAAGATGAAATCAAACGTTAAACCGTGGGCTAGTACCTGGTGAGGCAGATGAGGCCCTGTGGCCCCTTGGAGAAGAGAGGACTCCAGGTGACCTGGATCCTACAGAAGACATGCTCTCCTATAGCACATGGCTGTCCCCGTAGAAGAGGCAGCTGGAAGTCTGCTCATCTTTCCATGCCCACGTGCCCTGTGTCTCCATTTTTCTTGTAATTTCCCTGTTAGTCTCCAACTAATGGAAGAAATGGAGCACATATATTTACCTTATTCTCTAATGCTCACAACCCCCTGCTTCGATGGTCATTTCTGACATTTTGCCTGACTTCCTGTCAGCTTGCATGCGTTTTGAGGGTAGGATTTCCCTTTAGATTGTTTATCGTCTGGCTTCCAATAGAACTTACGTGTTGCCTGTTTACTAGGATGCCATGTACATGAATGCTGAATGGACCTGCTCTGTACAGATGGATAGCTGATGTTCGTCAAATGTTCATTTTGTGATCAGGTAGTTTCCCTCTACCTAGATCAAATAGTGTGCAAATAGTAACAAATTATCCCACAATCTTAGAGAATTCTTTCCGAAGACTGTTGCACACAGACTGGAAGCAGAGAAGAAGTTGTTAGGAAGCACTTTTTTTTCCCTAGACTGAACATGCTCATCTTCATTGTCAAGACCACTTTACGAGGGGAGCGGAGCCCAGAGGTTGATCAGCAGGTATGGCTTTCTGTTCTGTGGGGAACTGCAACAATTCGCCACCAGTTACATATCTAGTCATGATAGCAAAATATTTAATATGGCTGACCCTGGAACTTGGGTTTAAAGGGTTCAGGTCTTGCTCCCTACATTGTGATTGGAGAAGATGAGCTCAGCTTCACAGCACCTTAGTTTCCTCATCTGAAAGAGAGAGAACACTATCTGTCTCATTTATTTTAGAGGGCAGGATGCTACCAGGATAAAATTAGGAAAATGTAAGATTTTCATATTATACAAATGAAGATGACTATTTCTCAATATATACCAGAATGTAGAGCTTTTTGTTTTATTTTTAAATATATTTTCATTATCTTTATGTAGTTGTACAAACTAGTTACCATCCAACAAAGCAGTTTATGAATACAAGGCATCTTGACCAATATCACCCTATATATTCTAAAAGCTTTTCAGATGGCCACAGAATGAATTCTGTCCATCTTAGCCAATGCAGGAAAAACAATAAACACCAAGGGAGAAGGTGATGTCACACAGATAAGCATGACTCTAGCTTACATACTTCACAGACCAAAGGTGAATCCATATTTCTTTTCCTTACCTCAGCCTGTCCTTGGAGGCCTCATTTGTCTGACAGGGGGCTGTAAGGAAGCTCCTCTGTGCCAGGGCTTTTCTTCTTATGTCCAGGATTTTCTCTTCCTCCCTTAAGTACCTGGAAGCACTCAGCAGGTCTTGATCCTTGGTAGAGGAACCCCTGGTTCCTAGATGCTGGTTCCAGTTCACACTGCCGTTCATGATGCACCTGCTCAGTCTTGTCCTGTCCTCAGACACAATCCTCCCTCCACACTGGTGCTTGCTGAGGTGTTGGTATCCCTGTGTGGTCCCAATTAGTAGAATTCTAGCTTCTTTCTTCAGCATCTCATGTCCTATCCCCACCCCCTCTTTGCCTCTCTTCTCATCCTCATGGGGAACTCTAGCAAGGACACTGTCTCTCACAGTCTCAGGTGATCAGAGATACATAAAGTCTCTACTTTTGGAACCCACAGTCCCCACATGATCTCTGTGTTCTCATGTCTGTGGGCATTAGAGCCCTGACAGTATAACCCTCTTGTTTCCATCCTGTCCCCTTGACATTTTAAAGAACCAAATGAGATTTCTTCCCCGTATTTCTTGTTCTGTATCTTTGAACACATTGAATCCATACTATGATGTTTATACATTTTAGTACTTTCCAGAGATGGTAAAAGTCAAGATGAAGAGGAAGAAAGGCCCTAGATTATTGCTGCACTGTATCATCTGACCATATAATGAAAGAGCCAAATCTTGCACACAGACACCATCATGCTGGTGAAATGGGGAAATGCTGTAACAGCAGCCAGATCTCTGAAAGTAGATTCTTTTGTTGTTCCATTTTAGCTCTCAGCACTTCGGCTCTCTCACACTGGAACAGTGATGTAGGTCTCACAGGGTCATTGTAAATAATTAAAGAACATGTCTGCAGAACACACAAGAGAAAACCAGCAAGATAAATGAAATCTAGTGTTCTGTTATGAACAACAATCTGCCCTCCTGAGATGATATAAAACTATTTTCAGTGTAATGTATAGAAGATATTTGTTTGCTTTTTTTTTACAACAAGCACTGAAAAATTGAATTCTACATATAACAAACTGCTCTGAGTCTTGGATTATCCAACTATGAATAATAGATTTTGAAAATATTGAAGCAGAACAAAAGGGCCTCTAAGTTGCACGCTTCATCTCTCGTGCTTTGGCTGATGGCCTGAGGCTTTGGTTAAGACCTGGGTTCATCCAGGCTGCTGTGGAAGGGATGCAGAGCCCCCGAGGAACTCAAGCTCTCAGCTGACAACATCTGTCCATCAATATCACATTTTAGTATCTGCACCTTCATAAGACAGGCCTCGTTTCTAGAACTTAATCACTCTAGATAAACACAGGCTTAGGGAAGTGCAGGAAGGACACATGTCGCCATCTTGAAGGCTCAGCAGTTTCCTGGTAATGGCTCTGAGAAAGTGAGCAGAGCTCTGTGACTGCTTCCTGCTATGGTAATGAGGGAAGAAATCTTCCCCCACCACCCATAACCTCCTTCTTTCTTTCCCTCCCTCCTTCTTCCCCTTCAACCAATACCACATACCAACCTTGTTTTTGGCACTAGGGATGTATCAGTTAAAAATAGACAATACCCTGCCCTGAGGCAGCTCTGTATTGAAGTGAGCAAGACAGTAACACAAATGGAATGCACAGCCTGTTATTGATGGGAAGTACTTTGGAGCAGGGGAGGCTTCTGTGAACAGTTAAAGTCTGAGCAAGGACATCTGGATGCGGTCTGTAAATGAGTCTTTGAGTGACTCTTAAAAGAGCATGGAGAGCAATCAAGTAGATTTAGCCCAGACATTGTAATGGTGCCAACACTGCAATAGCACCCCAGGCCAAGTTGGGTGAGGGCCCAGGATGTCACTGTACCAGTGCAGGATAATCGATCAGGAAAGGGTGTGAGACATGGAAAAAAATGAAGTCACATTGGCATGGTGATACATGCCTGTAGTCCCAGCTAATCAGGAGGTAGAGTAGAAGGACCTTGATTGGAGGCCAGTCCTGGGCAAACGCATGAGAGACCTAAAATGAAAACAACTTAGGGATAGGCTCAAGAGCCAGAGCACTTGATTAGCAAGAATGTCTCACAGTTCCATCTCCAGTACTGAAAGAAAGAGGACAAGGAGGAGAGGAGGGGAAGAAACAACGCCAGAGGGGCCTCCAGGGACCAGTGGGGGCAAGTCCTAGTGCTTTCTGTAATATTGACCATCAAGTATTCATTGCAATGAAGTGTTGAAACATCTCCCATGTTCTCCTTTGCAGTAGTAGGAGATGTTGGAGAGGATATGAATTGTGTCTATAAGTTGTGAAGAGTGCTAACATATGTACTCTCACAATAAGAAACCTGAGCTCCAGTCTCCTCTCAGCGACTTCATGCACACCGCTGGCACATGCTTTACCTCACTTAACCCGCTGTTTCTTCTGTAGAACAAGGATTTCAGACCCACCCAAGACAGCACATGGCTCAAGTAAATGTCACCTGAGATCCTCCTGGGACAAAATTTTGTCTTTATCTCTCTCATCAGCATGATTAAATGTTGTAAGGGGTCACAGGTTTAAAGGAAAATGTGACTGTCACTGGGCACTGGACTCAAGAGGGTGAGATCTCAGGGCTGTGATTCAAAGCCAGTCTGGGCCATTAAGTCCGTGAGACTCATATCTCCAACCAACCACCAAAAAGCCAGAAGTGGAGCTGTGGCTCAAGTGATGAGTCATAACCTTGAACAAAGAAGCTCAGGGACAGTGGCCAGGTCCTGAGTTCAAATCCCAGGACTAGAACAAAAGAAATGGGAATTGAGTTCCATCAAAAGCCAATATTTTTTAAAGCTTTTATATGGTAACACGATTAAAATAATATACATTCACTAATAAAATCATGTAAACCACAGGAAAATTCACAGAAGCAAATATACAACCAATGCTCACAATGTAGACATTATTAGTGTACATCCTTTAAAGCTGGTTTCCTGGACATACACCCCTTTTCTTGTTAAGTATCTAGGCACTAGTATTAAGTTCACACCCTATATATGGTGGCGTGGCTATATATGCTTTCCAAAGTTCTCTATATCACAAGAAACTGCCAGTTTAAATGTTCTTTGAAGCTGTGATTTTGGATAGCTGCATATTTTATTTCTGAGTGTCCTTTTTCTGTTATTGACCACAGGCACTGTTCCCAATAACTGGCAAAAGTAACTGCATTTAAAAGCAATCGCTGGGTTGTCTAAGGGTCACCAAATATTTTCAAATTGTCTTTGCTGTATTCTTTGGCCTGTGCCTATCCCCAGACAGCATTCTCCCTTTGTCCCTCTTACTTCTATGCTCTTCTTCTGTCTCTGCTGGGGCCTGTGGCTCTGAGGAGCAGATTGTGTTATATGTCAATGGAAGATGGGGCAGGATCCCTGGAGGGACAAGCTGCTCTTGAGAAATAAGAATATCAGGAAATTCCTGCTTTCCAGTTACTTACCAT